AATCGAGTGTTGCAAGATCAGGACATACCTCCCCAGAAAGTCGGTACCCCACTGAGTAAAATGTACAAGATAACTCCAGCACTCCAAATATCGGCTTCGGCACTATAATGCCGACGCAATACTTCTGGAGCAACATAGTACGCACTGCCAACTAGATCTCGGAATACTTCTCCTGTAATAATATGTGAATCTGTGAGCATAGACAATCGTTTCCTTCTCGACAAACTATACATAAGTCCTCCTAAGGTTAAATTAGTAATTATCCACAATGTCCAACAAACAGCATACTAATACTCTATGTAGCACGGAAATGGTGATACGGGGAAACAACATATCCCAAAAATGGGGAAACGGGAGTTTGGGGGAAACCTGTAATATTAAAGTTATAGGGGGGTATATTTTTGTAAATATGCTATCTAAACATATATAAGTTTATATTTATATATAAATTCTTTTTATATATTTTCATACAAACATATTTCCAAAGTAAATTTTACTATCAACTATCAATTTGTAATTGATCGTTAAATTGTGTAAATAATTAGGAAAACAACGAAAATATTTGAAAATTTGCTATTCATACATGTTTCTAACAGGTGTCCTTGAGAGTCCGACACGAAACGTATCTGAAACGTATAAATCCACTCTATCTGAAACGTTAAGAAATTGAAGTTTCCGTGCTACATAGCTAATACTATTAGTTCTCGATATGAATTAATACCGGTGTTATTGCAATGGAACTTGAAATCCACTCTTATCATTTGAAAACATTCAATCCAATAAATTGCACACAAAATTTCAACAAATTACGGTTTTTATACCATGTCAAATATGTGAATTTCACATTAGGCGAAAGGAACACCGAACATACACTAAACTATAACCCGGTACAAAAGCGCAAAATGGGCACTCTTTCGTCTATTGCATTTAGCACAAAAACAAGAATCATTGAATCAAGAAACGAGAAACGAGAATGACAAACGATATTGTTCTCCGATATTTATTTTCCTTATAATTAATCAGAAAAAAATGACATGGAAATCTTATTCGCATTTTCGGGTTTTGCTTTAACCGTTGCGATTTTCGACAACACGATTCAATCAATCACATGAAAGGGGAAAATAATGAAACATAGAAGAACAAAGTTGTCTCACAAATTTCAATTAATGATTTTTCAGACCAATTCGACACAAAAAAAAAAAAAAAAACATAAGAAATTCAATTAAAATATTAAAAGAACTAATTAATTAAAATTAAAAAAAATTACCCGGCTTAAAAAACACAGACAATCCGAAATCAGTAGCCTTGAGCGGCGAATCCTCATCTTTACTGAGAAGCAAGAAATTCTCAGGCTTCAAATCCCTATGCATAACCCCCATCGAGTGACACGCGTGCACCACCGTCACAATCTGCCGGCACAGCCCCGCCGCCGCCCGCTCCGAGTAATGCCCCTTTGCGATGATCCGATCGAAGAGCTCGCCGCCGGCGCAGAGCTCCATCACGAGGTGCACGTTGTTCCGATCCTCGAACACCTCCTTCAGCTCCACGATATTCCGGTGGCCGGTGAGGTGGTGCATGATCTGAACCTCGCGGCGGACGTCGGCGACGTCGTCGGCGGTCACGAGCTTCCGGGTGGCGATTGACTTGCACGCGAACGCCTCGCGCGTGGCGCGTCTGGTCACGAGGTGGGTCACGCCGAACTGCCCCCGGCCGAGCTCCCGCCCGAAGGTGTAGACGGAGTGGACATCGGCCATGGGGCGGCCGAGGATGCGGCCGTTGCCGGTGGGAAGTGGCCGTCGCGGCGGAGGATCCGCATCGGAGGGGAGGATGGTGATGTGGGACTCTCCTCCACCAACACCTCCTCCGCCTCCGCCGTTGGGTTGAGAAGGCGGCGGAGGTCTGGTGGTTGGCGGTGGGGGATTCGAGGTATAGCCGCTGCTACAGTTACCCATTTTTTTTGGTTGGATTTCTCTCTTCTGACTGCAGAGTCAAAACTGTATTGTTTTTCTATTTTCTGTCTGAAATAGAAAATGACTAAATTGACCTTCATGTAAAATGACCGTATTGACCTTGGATCTCTGATTGTGTGTTGACTTGTGGTCAACATTGATTCGCAGCAGTTATAAGATTAGCTGTTTATTCGTGATTCCCCTTGTGATCACATTTATTGAAGAGTTAAATATCGAATATCTCCCTTTACTAGTAAAACAACAAGTTGTTATTTATTTTAGATATCAAATATATCCCTTTACTAGAGTCTAGAGCTAAATATCAAAATTTGGAAGTTTGTTTCGAAATTAAAATTTGATCGGAAATCGGAATGTAAAATGTGTTATATTGTATTATGGAACTTTTGTAATATTATGATTATATTATGATTACGTTACCTATATTAGTTATGATTCAGTTATCTAACTTAATGTATTACCTTGTAAATTTCTCTATATATAATCAATGCAAATCAACTCGTAGTTGTAAATCCCTCTATATATAATCAATGCAAATCAACTCGTAGTTATTGGTTTTTTTTTTTTACTTCTCAACTCTTATAATATGTATTCTAATTTTATTCCAAATAATTAGAAAATGGGTAAATTATGGGCACACACTGAGGTAAGGTCAAATTACAAAAAACACCTCCATGTTTGGATAATTACAATCATCCCTCAATTATGAATCTTCTCACACGTCAACTATTGTGGTATCAAATTCAGTGAAATCTTCTAGATTATGTTGAATGTTCTCCAATTTGTACTATTTTACCCCATTCGAGCTCCATATTTTGAAATAAGATGGTCAAATGTGTCTCTTAGGCTTGTAAATATCAGATTGTGGTGCATCAGAAACGGCATTTTTGCAACAAAAACGAGTGCAAACTAGAGAAGTTATGTTGGATTAGACACTACAAATATGGAAATGTAAAAACATTCATAATTGATGGGGTGATTGTAATTATCCAAACATGAGGGTTTTTTTTTCCTAATTTGACATTAGCTCAGGAGATGGCCGTAATTTACCCATAGAAAAGTTAATATAAGCCATGCATCTCATTGAATCATATCGAATTAAATTTATTAGTGTTTAAAAACAAGTTATTTATTAGTTAATTCTTTATGCTAAACCAACTCTCATCATTATTAGAAGAGTTGGTACATAAGCTCTACTATTATATTAGAAGTCTATGATTCGAATCCTCATTTATATTTCCGTCTTTGCCCTTTTCCTTTTTGTTTTTTTGTTTTTTCGTATTTCATTTTTCTTTTTCGTTTATAACTTTATGATATATATATAAATGAGTTGGTTCCATATTTTGTGAATGTGCGAATATACAAAATATAATATAGATGATTCTTTATAGCCACTCTTCAATGAGTGTACTCAAAGCATAGTATCTTTTATTATTTGACTATTGATGTAATCGCCTTTCTGCTCACGGTTAAGAAAACTTGCAAAGTGTCACCTTCAATGTGTAGTAAGTATTTTCTTTTCAATAGTTAACATTGTTAATTGTTAACGGAATAAGGATTTCATACAATATAAAATAAAAAAAGGAGGATTTTGTACAGTTAAACCTCTATAAATTAATAGAGTCGGCACTAGCAAAATTCTATTAATTTAGCGAAATATTAAATTATTGAAATAATAGTTTTATATGTTTGTACCGAGTCAGAACCAGAAAAAATTATTACTTAAGCGAGATTATTAATTTATCGAGTATTAATTTATTGAGGTTCTACTGTACATATTTTTCATAACGCAGGGGTTTTTATGCAGTTTACCTCCTAATAAGATGCTTAAGAATGTAAAATTAAAAATTTAAAAGTAAATTGCGATATTTTAATAATTATGATAGACTGATAGTAAAAGTGTGAAAAAAGAAAGAGCAGGAGCTTGGGTAACTTTTCCTCGCACTTTCCCAGGCCCATTTCAATTTCCAGATAAAGTAGGGGGCAGAAAGTAATAATGTATTTTTAAAGGGGTAAAAAGGCCCTTCTCAAGATTTGAGGCAAACGACAAAATTAAGATGCAAAAACAAAATGCGTCTGCCGGGAGTCGAACCCGGGTCTATTGCTTGGAAGGCAATTATCCTAACCGTTGGACTACAAACGCTATTTGATAAGTACTTTTGAACATGACATTCAGATATTATTATTTTAGACTGTAGGTAATGTGATAAAATTAAGAGTAAATTACAACCATCCATGAGGGAAGGTCAAATTACGAAAACCCTCCTTCTGTTTGGGTAATTACAGCCACCCCTCAACTATGAATTTTCTTACAAGTCCACCCTTACGGTGTCAAATTTAGTGAAATCTTCTAGATTATATACAATACTCTCAAGTTTGTATATATTTTATCCCACTGGAGCTCCATATTTTGAATCAAGATGATCATAAGATGTGTTTTTTTGGCTTGTAGCCTTGTATATATCAGATTGTGGTGTGTCATAAACTTATTTTTTGCATAAAATGAGTACAAATTAGAGAACATTCCACATAATCCAGAAAATTATGTTGAATTTGACACTATAAGGATGGACGTGCAAGAAGATTCATAATGTAGTGATAGTAGTAATTATCCAAACATGTGGGTTTTTTTCATAATTTGACCTTATCTCAAAGGAGTCGCCGTAATTCACCCTAAAATTAATTCATACATTTGTATAAGAAAAACATATGAATGTGGAGACATCCCAGGCTTCTTAAAAATTAATCAAGTTATTCATAAACTAACTAACTATGTATATATTGGGTAAATTACAACCACCGCTGAGGTATGGTCAAATTACGAAAACCCCCTTCTTGTTTGGATAATTATAACCATCCTCTCAACTCCTTAAATTTAGTAGAATCTTCGAGATTATATGGAATATTATCACTTTTGTACCCGTTTTATCCCATTCGAACTCTACATTATAAAGCAAGATGATCATAATATGTGTTTTTTAGCTTGTATATATCAGATTGTGGTGCATCAGAAACTGTATTTTTACACAAAACGAGTACAAACTAGAACACATTCTACAACTAGAACACATTCTACGAAATATAGATGGTTATGTTGAATTTGACACCATAAGGGTGGAGGTGTAAGAAAAAAACATAGTTGAGGGGGGCAGATGTAATTATCGAAACAAGAGGGGTTTTTTGTAAATTGACCATACCTCAGGGTGTGTTTGTAATTTACCATATATATATATATATATATATATATATATATATATATATATATATATATATACTCTCCCAAATGATAAAACAGTATGCGTTGAAAAATTAAACCTAAACAATAAGAAAATTTCCATTTACAATGCAGGATGAATGGTGAAAAAGGTCTGCAGAAAAGTGAGACAAAGAAGAAAGGTAGCTGCAAGCAATGCAACAACAGTCCACGGGCTTCGAAATCGGGTGTGAATCAAATCAGCCATCCAAGTCTTGGCCTTGCTCCGACAATGCTCCTCGATTTCCCGCCTCACTTCCTTAAATATATCCAAATTATCGAGCCCAAAAGTGTCCACGCCTTTAAATTCCTCCAAAAGTTGTTCGTGGTTTTGGAACTTATTGATCAAAATCCCCTTCTCTTGTAGCTCCTTCACATCCGCGGGGCTTTCAATTAACGATTTCATGAAATTCGCGTACGAAAGGACCTCGAATCCAGTTTCCGAGCCCGGAGACATTTCGTACGCTATCATGTTGGATAGAAATACAAAGGAAATGGACGAAACTACCCTTGCCGGAATATGAAGCCGGCCTGATAAGGGACCGGAATCAAAATGTATGTTGGTGACGGAATACGAAGAACTGGCCTCGAATTCAACGCCCTTTTCTTTAAGCTCCGTCACCGAACGAAATGTTTGGTTGAAGTTATGCTCGTCGTCGATTTGTGTGAATTTGATGCCGGAGAGTTTTGTCGGAGTGTAGTTTTGTTCTACTATAAGCAATTTGCGGCAAGCTTCGAGGAGGTGAAGAGGCTCTTCCTCCTCGACTGCTGCCGCCAGCGGGGGAATGCAGCTTCTGCCGCCAGTGCTGAATTCCCCCGCCATCAACCAGTTCGAGAACTTGTGGAGTAGTTCTTCCCCTAATTCTTCCCTCCCCGTGTTGTAAATTCATTATCATCTTTATAACCTGAAAATCATGACAGAAAAATTAAATCAATAAGATACAAAACTCTGTCCGAGCTCGAATCGATTAAATCAACATGAAGTTGATAAAATATCAAATTACTCGAGTTTAATACAGTTTGTTGTACCTGGATTTGTCAACTACTCTATTTATTTTTGTTTTTTAAATGCAACTTTAGCCGTATATTTTTTTCTCATATTAAATGTCATTTTACTATTTTTTCAAATATTAATAACAGATTAATGAAACGAGCAAGGAAAAATAAAACATGTACAAAGGGTAATTTGGTCAAACGAATAATATTTTTCCAAAACATCAAATTTAATTATTTTTTTAGGGCAAATTACGGTCACCCCTAAGATATGGCCAAATTACGAAAAAAAACCTCTTGTTTGGGTAATTACAGTCACCCCTCCTTTTAAATACTTTTACATAAAATTTATGTAATTTGGTTATTTACTGAACCAAATCGTATATTTAGTTCGGTAAACAGTATGAAACGTTGGCATACCGAAATTTCGATTTGGTTTCACCGAATCCCTAAATTTACTTCTGAAGGAATCTTTTCGTAAGATAATACATAGTTGAGGGAATGATTGTGATGATGCTAAAATATTTAGATCACCTGGGGTAGTGTAGAAAATGAATTGGGAGAGCAAAGCAGATCAGTAGCTTGACAACTTGATGATCCTGAGGTACCTGCGAAATGAATACACGTGAACTACGCCGGGGGTTGATCCGGCGGAAACCCCTCCGACGCTCAAGTCAGACGTGCTGATCATAGAAATGGTCCAGAGAATACGTATTGTAGTATTGCTCAGTTAATAGGACGTACCTTAAGGAATGAATTCAAACCTTTATTTATAGCTTAGTTGAGATAGTCGGGCCCAAACCTTACTTGAAGGTGATTGGGCCTCGGTGATAATGGTCTTCGATATTGGGCTCGTGGCCCAGTAGGTAAAGAAATTGTAGGCCCATTGGGTTGGCCCAATTAGGCATATCAGATTGTAATTACCCAAATATGAGGAGAATTTTCGTAATTTAACCATAACTCAGAGGTGGCCGTAATTTGCCCTTATTTAAAATTGGTGTGCGCCTACCTTAAACAACACTAACAAAGAAACTAAATTCAAATGACCCGAAACAGTTTTATACATTTGACTCAATTTATTTAAAGTCGATTCGAAATGGGATTTACATGAATTAGATTCGATTAAAACTCGTTCGAACTGCATTCGTATAAGCTAATCAAATCAAATTCAAAAAATATTTCGATTTCGAATATTAATAGTACATTTAACTCGATTTGAATACCTGAAGCGGGATTTGATTCTCGAGCAACATTACATCTCGAATTACGAACCACAGGCTGGCAAGGCCACGGCAAAGTTGCCAATCGGCGAAAAAGCTTTCGTCTCCGGCGAGGCCATCCACCAGAGATACTACGAAGCAAGCATCTAGAAGAATCATCAGCGCCAGTGCCCTATCATCGTACTTTTCGACGCAATTCAAATCGGCGTAGCAATCCCTAATTTCGTCGATTTTGTCGACAACTTTGTTGTAGAGAGAGGTTTTCTTCGCGGAGTCGCCGGAAGTTAACCGGTCGAGGAATCTGTACTTGACCTCGTCGGCGGCGAGCAGATCCGGCCGGCCGTGGTGGTAAGGGCCGAGCGACACTATCGTTGGATCGTATGCGCTCCGCTGGAGCTGCAGTGGCCGTCTGTGGATCTGGCGGCGGCGCCGCCGTGAACCGTCGTATCTTTTGCATAGCTCCGGTATTTCTACAAACACCGCATTTTTAGATTCATCACTGTTCATTGTCAATTCTGGAAACGAAAACAGAAATCAGATTCTTTTATTATTTCAATAGATTTTTTACTATTTATTGGAGAGTTGAACTGTTGTCGGAATATAATATTGGCAGCGGCAATTTGGTAATTAAAAACGATCAAATATTGAATTAATTTACTAAACACCATCTAATTTGATACTTAATCTATGCAGCACGAAAACTTCAAATTTGATACCAAAGAGCCTAACAATTGGAAGCCACAAAGACCCAATGATCCCAATAGCTTGATGTTCGATATTAGTAGAGTAGAATAATTTGGTGAGTATTTGGAGTCAAACATATGCACGTAAGTATAATTTTTTTTCTATCTTTAATTTACAAATATTGGATGCTTGAAGCAATTGCATGATTTGTGGTTTTTGGCTATGGTAAGTGACTAAGTGCTTTTGAATTTTGAGCTTGCGAATGCCTAAGAATTTTCATTATAATTACAAGCTCTGAAAACGTGAAGTTGGTCATTAATCTATGTGATGAGATGCGGTAGTTGAGTTATTTGCTTACGATTAGATTTTGCTTGAGGACAAGCAAAAGTTCAAGTTTAGGGGTGTGTTGAGTGTAAATTTTACGCTCAATACGTTTACTTTACGTGGATCTTTTGTTTAAATTTAATTATATTTGTGCTTTTAATTGATTGATTTTGTGTTTTATAGGTGAAAACGAAAATTATGTGTCCATGAAGGAAAAAAGACCAAAAATAAAGGAAAAAGTTGCAAATAAGGAAATAAATCGAATTGGAAGAAGGAATATCGCCACAGCTTTGGCAGTGTTCACCATTTCGAGCATATCTCTCTCATACGAACTCCAAATCAGCTGATTTTGGCGGCATTGGAAAGCTAATTTCAAGGGCTACAATTCTTATTTACACAACATTCCAAAATTAGGGAATCGAACATGACAAAAATCGAAGAACAAATCCTGATGGAGGAAAGTGGCGGAAATTGATTCCTATTAGGTTTGTACTACTTCCTTATCAAGAAAAGCCTATAAAAGCAGCAAGTCCCTACACCATAAGCACGAAATTATACTCCACAAAACGAGAGGAACGAAGATCAACGAAGACTCAAACATAGTTTTTCTTATTTAATTTATTTCTTTTATTTTCTTTATCATAAGAATCACGAGTAACTAAGTCTTTAGTTTCTAGAATTTTATTTGGAACCCTATGTGGGATTTATGAACCCAATTCTATGATTTTATGCAAGTTTTAATTTCGGATTATTTCTTCTACTTGTTTTATTAAGTGCATGAACTTGATCACCTTATGTGCTTTTATGTTATTGTTAATCGCATGAATCGGAAGATCGGGTTAATAATTAGAACTGTGGTAGAAGAGCCTTTGTGGTATTAACATAGGAATATAGTTAATCTCTTAGGTAGCCATTATTGAGATTTGTGCTTAATGATGTGTTCTAAAATTAATTGCATAGGAATATAGTAATTGAATCTTGAGGATTAGAATCGTAATACACACGGAAGTGGGTTATGATTATTTTAGCATCTCAAGTTAATAATCCGGGTTAATTGCTTGCATAATTGAAGGAATTGGGGGAGTAATAATCACATAGGGGGAAGAATAAAATCCTAGGCTTGTTTACTTTGATTAACTTCGTTTTTAATTGCTTTCTTGTTTTTGCTTGCTTTTTAATTTAGTAAATTCTCTCAAAATTCGAATGTGTAGGGTGGGCTTGAAAACAATTGGTAGAATTTAGCGTCTAGGATTAGATAATTAAATATTCTTTGTGGGATCGATACTTGGACTTAAAAATCCACTTTATTACTTGTACGATACGTGCACTTGCGTGTAGGTATTTCAACCAACAGTTTGCCCAAGTTTTCGTATTCCCATTTTTGAAACATACCGTTCCCCGTATTTATTTCCTCGAATCTGTACTTCGCCCCGCAAATTAGGTATGATTACATATAGATCATCATATTATAGAAGCTTACAACCGGGGATGTATGCTGATCCGTCTGAAGAACCTGATTTCCTTCTACTGGGAGTACTGCAAAAACCTGTAGAAAAGGAAAAGCCGGACTGATGTCGGAGTTAGCACTCAAACCATCAAAATCGGCCAGTATGGTTCTAATAGAGGATTCTTATATATCATCACTTTAAAGTGAGTGTTTGGATATATATAACAATGTACCGACTTTTGGCCTGATGTGTGCCTTCCTTTTATAGTGACAGAGGACGTCCCTCCAACATCAGGGTTGAGGCCTCTCTGTGTCTGTGCTTACCTTTTTTCCGGGTGGCTCGGGTCATGATTATCTTTCGGGAAATCAAAGCCCCTACTTCCTGCCGGTTTAATGGGGCAAGACCTTATACCTACCTCCTCTGTCTTTCGGCCGCTCTCGGTCATCGGCGCATTTAATGCCTTTTTAGTGCATTAAAATCGCCGCTGGAGACATTCTGGATAAATGTCAGAGCGCATTTAATACGCCCTGGCGTACCCACCTCGACCTCCTTACCCCTCATTAAGGTGGCTCCGAGCATAGCCTATCCTACTTCGGGAGCATCCTGGGTAGAGTCACCTCCCGAGCCTTCGTTCGCTATCATCCTGGGTCTCAGAGGGGTTCGCTTCTGACCATCATCCCTCGGGGTTGGGCTTGGTGGTGGGCTCTTGTTGGGCCCTACTTAATGGGCCTCCATCGCAGTGGATCAATTGATCTCTTATCAGCCCAAATCATATACAACGAAATACAAACAGTATTTTTTTTATTTTTTTTAATAATTAAAAGATCCATTAAAAGAAAGAATGAAAAGAGCATACAATCGGGGAGCCCCGTCACAAAAACAAGAAATAGGAATAGAGTTAACATCAATAGATCACAAACAAGAACATGAGAAAGCCCAAGTGGCTAGGTACGGAAGAAAATAAACGTTTCGTGGAGATTCGATTTATTTCCTAGGATGGATGGTGAAATAGGTCTGCATGAACGCGAGACAAAGAAGAAACATTGCACCGAGCAATGCAGCAATGGTCCACGGGCTACGAAATTGGGTGTGTCTCAAATCAGCCATCCAAGTCTTGGTCCTGCTCCGGCAATGCTTCTCTATTTGCTGCCTAACTTCTTTGAATATATCCAAATTATCGAGCCCGAAAGTGTCCAATGCCTTAATTTCTTCCAAAAGTTGTTCGTTGTTTTGGTACTTATTGATCAAAATCCCCTTCTCTTGTAGCTCCTTCATATCGGCGGGGCCCTCGATCAACGATTTCATGAAAGTTGTGTAGGAAAGAATCTCGAATCCAGTTTCCGAGCCCGGCGACATTTCGTAGGCTATCATGTTGGACATACATACAAAGGAAATGGGCGACACCACTCGGATCGGAATATGGAGCCGGCCCGATATGGCACCGGACTCGAATTTGATGCCCTTAACCGAAAGCGAAGAGCTAGGCATGAAGTGGATGCCCTTTTCTTTTAGATGCGTCACCGAACGAAATGTTTGGTTGAAGTTATGATCATCGTGTTGAGCCAATTTGATGCCGGAAATTGTAGTGGGTAAAGTTTTATTTTGTTCTATTAGAAGCAATCGCGGCAAGCTTCGAGGATGTGAAGAGGTTCTTCTTCTCCGTTTGTGGGAATGCAGCTTCGGCCGAGAGTGCTGAATTTCCTCGACATCAACCAGGTCACGAACTTTTGGAGTAATTCTTCCCCTAATTTGTCTCCATGTTGTGATTTAATTATCATCTTTATAACCTGCAGAAATTAAATCAAGCTGCTTGATATTCGATCTGAGGTTGATACACTATCTAGGTCGAATAAATTTTTAATATAAGAGTCAAGAGATCAAATTACCTATGGATATACTATCATTAATTCAAAAGTTTAAGTCGTTAGTGAGGTGGATTATTTAATATTTATATCCTCAACATTATTAAGATTTAGTTAGAACTAAGGTTCTAAAAAGCACGAGGTGGGTCGGCGGCGGTTAGGCACTACCTCATGATTCATTGGCGATGTGCTAATTAATCGCCAACAAATCGGAATAAAGCAGTTTCTTCAATATAATATATTTCTAAATATTATTTATAAATATTCAGTGTATATAATAGAAAAATATTTAAACGTGTTTCTATTCTCATCATTTATATATCATAATCATATAATATAATAAAAATCCCCACAAAATACAATAAAGCGTGAATCTTCCACATGCAAAATTATGCTTGAATATTTAAAATTCAATGTTTTACCCATTTTGACCCATTGACCAGCTTTGACCCGCCGCAAAGTGTGTATACGGATAAAAACCAATTTTCAAATATTTACAAGAAGGTCAACCACCTCGCAGATTTTTAGAACACTAGCTAAATGAATAATTAAATTTAAACAACATCAATTAAGAAAATTTCATACATTTGACTTGATTACATTTATTCGGACTCCACCTGAGAGTAGTCAAATTCAAATGGATTAAAACACGTATGCTAATTTATCAAATTAAATACGAACAACTTTGAAAAATCATATACTTCCTTTGTTCCATAATAAATGTTTTTTTTATAAGCAATTTTGTTACATATTATTTGTTACTGTAGATTTCGATGATGCATTAAATATATATTGTTTTCCTGTGTTAACCTTATCAATTAAACTTTAAGTATTAATTCCCTCTCACATCATTAAATGATCAAAGTTATTTTAGTCTTTTTAATGTATGTTATTTTTTTTTTTTTTTTTTTTTTGAGAATCTTAATACTTATGCAAAGCTGAAAAACGACAATTAACAATTAATTAGGAACGAAGAGAGTATTTGACTACGTACGTGAAGTGGGATTTGGTTCTCGAGCAACATTATATCTCGAATTACGAACAATAGGTTGCCCCCGCCAATGCAAAACTGCCAATCGGCGGAAAAGTCGACATCTTGGGCGAGGACTTCCACGAGAGACACTATGAAAGAAGCGTCTAGAAGGATCATCAGAGCCAGCGCCCTATCATCGTACCTTCCGACGCACTCAAAATCGGCGTAACAATATCTGATCTCGTCAATTCTCTCCAGAACTCTGTCGTAGAGCGAGTTTTTCTTCGCGGGGTCGCCGGATGTCAGCCGGTCCAGGAATCTGTGCTTGACCTGGTCGACGTCGCGTAGCTCCGGCCGGCCGTGGTGGTAGGGGCCGAGAGACACGATCGCCGGATCGTACACGCTCCGCTGGAGATGCAGCGGCCGTCTGTGTATCTGGCGGCGGCGCTGCCGTGAGCCGTCGTATCGTCTGCATAGCTCGGGTAATGTTGTACCGTTCGTACGATTATATTTATCGTTCTCCATTGCCCGATTCTGGATACGAAAGAGAAGATCAATTTACTATTTATAGACGGAGAAGAGAGATTAATATAATTTGGCAGCGGCCATTTGAATTATATTTGAACTATTTCTCCCACTGGAATTATTAAGAAAAAAAACAATATAATATATATTGTTTTAATTGAAATTAGCAATATAAACTTATTTTTGCAATGTCTTGCGATTCTAAATTTTTTTTCGGGGCGCTGCCCGAATCCTGAAAATTTTGCTCGCCTCCCCTATGTTTTCATCCTAGTTCCGCCCCTGGGTTTATGAGATGCTATATTTAGTGAAAAATATCAACTAATTTTGCAGCATAGATCTATACTATCTACTAAGCACACATACACATACAGGGACGGATCTTTTAAGGGGCAGGGGGGGCTGTTGCCCCCCCCCAAGATAAAAAAATAATAATTTTTTTTAGATATTTTGGCATTTTAATTTTTGAATATTACTTTTGACCCCCTAAAGTTTTTGTAAATATGTGTCTTAATCCTTAATTTTTTTGTTTCTTCTCCACAATCTTATATAAATTATACTTGTATACATCATATCTAATATAAAAATATTTAATAAAATGGTTAAATTTGTATTATTTTATATAATATCTATGAATATTTACTTATTTTGGAATTTTTTTATCGGTGTCTCTTAAAAATAATATGAGATGATGCCAGTAATCTCCAAAATATTTAAGTGCAATACATTAAGATTTTTTTGTCATGCTTAAAATATGATAAAACTATAATATATGCTATTTTAATTAAAAAATTATCAATATAAACTTATTTTTGCTATATCTTGTGAACCTAAAATTTTTTTCGGGGCACTGCCCCGAACCCCGAAATTTTAGTTAGCCCCCCTATATTTTGATCCTGGTTCCGCCCCTGTACACATAAATGTGTTTTTTTATAATGTGTAGATTAATAATGCATAATTACCTCGCATATTTCACCGGGTTTTAAAACCACAACGCGAACGACAAAAGCTATTATTATAGCACGCAGTAGCACCATCATGGAGACAACTAAAAAAAAAACTCAAGTTTAATTTGTTGTTAAATGTTACTAGTCAATAAAATTAATCATCACTCTTCTATACAACTAATTTTGCATATAATACATAACAAAGTCGTAGCACTTTTTTTTATCACCAAATAATCGATCCGAGAGGTAAGACTTTTACTGGGATTGGTGACGATGTAATCAATTATGGTAATTTTATTTTCTTAATATATATTTACGTAAATGGTGCAGTGTCGAGTTGAAAATAAATATATTTTTTGTTTGCCGTTTTATTATATAAAGACAACTGCATCAAATATTTTCACAAATTATAAAAACTATATACCGATCGAATGATTTGTTGAAAATTAATTAAGAGATTTGTTTTAGCTTTCAAGTAATTTATAGAGTAATATTTTTAATTTTGCACTTTGTACATTCAACATTATGTTTGAATGATGGAGTAAAATAATATTTTGATTTGGTATTTTGCACCATGAAAAAACCAGTAAAAAGATGAAGTTGCCTCATTAATTTTTAAAAGGGCAAATTACGGCGACCCCTGAGGCATGGTCAAATTCTGAAAAAAAAAATAAAAAAAGTCTCTTATTTTGGTAATTACAGCCACCCCCTCCTTTTAAATATTTTTACATAAAATTTATATAATTCGGTTATTAACCGAACCAAATCGTATATTTAGTTCGGTAAACGGTATGAAATGTTTGGCGTACCGAAATTTCGGTGCGGTTTTACCGGTTAACATCCCTAAATTTAGCTCTAGAGGGGTCTTCTCGTAAGATAATACATAGTTGAGGGGTGGCTGTAATTACCCAAACAGGAAGGAAGTTTTCATAATTTGACCATAATTCAGGGGTGGCCGTAATTTGCTCATTTTAAAAATTCAGATTTGGGGTGCAATTTGAATAATTTATTGTATTTAAGGGTGCAAAATGCTATTAATATATTGTTCTCGGGTGCAAAGCACCAAAGTATTATATATTAAGGGTAATTATCAAAAAAAAAGTATTATATATTAAGGGTGCAATTCCGAAAATCCTATGAGATTAAGGATGAAATCAACTTGTCTCAACATTGGTTTTCTATAAATATGTGTTATTATTCGCATATAACAAGACAATTAATTAAGCACACAAGGCCAAACACAAAATAACCTTTACTTGATTAACATATGCTACTAATCAATTAATGAATTAATTAATTATAGCATTCATACAATTTGATATCCATTTGCAAACGAAAATAGAAATCACCCTCAACTTCATCATTCTTGAAAGTCGCAATCCCTCTAGCCATGAAGAAATCTCCGGTCCCACCAACAACCGAGAGGTCTCGTGTTTTCTCCGGCAGTGGGTCCGCCCCCATAATATTCAAAGTCCCCTTTACTGCGGCGTACTGAATATCACGTTGTAGGCAAACCATGCACTATAAGTTTTTTCCGGTCGTAGAAATAAAACCCTTGTGCCCTAGCGGCCTCGATCGGGTGACCGAAGATGACCGTTTCGGTCAACGGGTCGTCGAAAACGACCACCATCATAACGAATTCCGAGCCGAGTGCGCGGGACCCGTTGGTTATCATTGTTGAGGTGGTGTTTGCTGCGTCGGTGCCGTTGAAGAGAATGTCGTGGTAGTAGAGCACGATTCTCTTGCATGGCTTTTTTGGGTTTAGTGCGAGAACGAGAGAGGGTACGACTTACGAGGAGAAAGAAGAATATCGAAGAAGCAGATGGAGTTTTTTGGTATTAGAGGACTAACCCTGGTTTATTTAACGAACTTTTATGGTTGGCTTTTGAGTGTGTGTGTGTGTGTGTGTGTGTTTTTGAAGTGATAAGAAACATCATGCATGCTTTGGTTTATATATAGGCAAATTTGAGAAACCGAATTGGTTTGTAGCTGTTTGTGTTCTTGTGCATGCAATAATTTGGATTTTTTTATTATAATTTGTATGTTGCATTTTTTTAAATGAAGGAACCTGCAGGTCGCAACGAACCGTATAGGTGCACCGAGTAAATCTACATTCTCGTACAGGGCCGGCCCTGGCCCAGGGCGAGCAGGGCCCAGGCCCAGAGCCCACTTTTCAATGGGGCCCAAAAAATATATATTTTTTGTTATTATTTTATAATTATTTTTCTTTTCTCTTCTTCCAACCCCTATTCTATTAACCTCTTAACTGTTTAACCCCCACTTTCCACATTAATTTTTTTTGACCCAATCCATCTTGTCAATTATCGCTCTCTCTCTCTCTTTTTTATTCTCACCCAACATCTTTTGTCCTCTTGCCATTTCTCTCTCATGTACATTGTTTTACTCTAATTTAATTTTTCTTGCACTCCTATATATTTCTCTATTGTTAGTTTCTACAGTTTAAACTTAGTTGTTTTTTCTATGATATTGGTGTTTTTATTTCACAAAATTAAATTATTTTATTTTTGTTAAATTAATTTTTTTTTTCTAATACCCATTTTTATTTAATACATCCATATCTTACACATATATATATATATATATATATATATATATATATATATATATATATATATATATATATACATTTAAAAAAAAATTGGAATTTAGGGCCTCGGTTTTAATTCTTGCCCAGGGCCTCCAATCACCCAGGACCGGCCCTGTTCTCGTATAATAGCTTACAAACCATATGAGAGATGTAACCCATACTGGGCAAAATATGTCTGAGAACGGAGAATACATCCAGAACCGGTTCCAAGTGTCGAACTTATTTTCAATTTAGTTGAGGGCAAAATTGGAATTTTCAATCAAGTTATTATTTGATGGTAGACTCACTTCACATGCATGTATTGGCAACGACCCACTTCAATTTGCACACCTCCAGGCATGCGTGGGGGACTATGTGTAAAACAGTAGCATCTACAAGACGGTTAATTGTACTTTACATCAAACTTTAAGGGAAGTTTGTGTAATTTTTCAAATTCAACATTCTATACATTATCTTCAAGTGTAATCTTGAGATGCTTAATTTGAATAAGTACCTTTCCTTTTTAAGGTAAACAACCGCCACCCCTGAGGTAGAGTCAAATTACGAAAAAAATCTTCTTGTTTCGGTAAGTTACAATTACCTCCATCAACTATGAATCTTCTTACACACCCACCACTGTGGTGTCAGATTTAGTGGAATCTTTTGGATTATGTGATATATTCTCCAGTTTGTACCCGGTTTACCCCACTTGAGCTCCAAATTTTGAAACAAGATGATCCTAAGATGTGTTTATTGACTTGTAAATATCAGATTGTGATGCATCAGAAACTATATTTTTGCACAAAACGAGTACAAACTAGAGAACATTCCCCGGAATCTAGAAGATTACGTTGAATTCAACACCATAAGGATAGATATGTAAAAAGATTCATAGTTGAGGGATGATTGTAACTACTCAAACAAGAGGAGTTTTTTCCGTAATTTGACCTTACCTCGCGAATAAAAAACATTGCTTCTTTTCATCTCTTGTAGATGTAATTTAATTACACTAGTAAGCATATATTGCAACACTGTTACTTGACAGAAGAACTAAGGGCATGAAACATTATTATCAGAAATCTACATTTGTATCTACACCATCATTCCCTTAAACATCTAACCTAATTACAGTTTCAATTCAGTGACAAACAAGAAACCGCTAATCGCCATCCTCATCCGTCGTGTCGCCATCCTTCAACGAAGCCAGAGAATCTCCGGTCAGGCTGCTCCGGTACTGCTGCACCACCAACACCGACGCCGTTATCTTCATCTCCGGCGAGATCAACAAGTTTCCGACGGGCCCCAATTCCGGGCACTCGCTCTTCCGGCCAATCGCCGCCACCAATTGCCCCTCCGGCATCCTCCCCACCAAAAACAAATTGCACCGATTGTTAAACCCCTGAACCACACCGACAGCCTCCGCCACGTCACTCACTACAACCTCCTCGTACTCGATCGAACCGTCCTCCGACACCTTCTCCTTAAACTCCTCAAGAAAACTAAAATCCTCGTCTGCCAGACCTTCCGGCACATTCTCGTCGTTAATATCGACACGAACACTATCTCCAACAACCTTTCGGTCCAAAATAAGTCGAACGGCATTCAAACGAATACCGTTATGCTCCGCCATGAGTGCGCCGTATGAAAAGGCCTCACGGTCATCATGCCCTCCGAAGAAAAACGCCGTTACAGTGTAATTAACGTTACTCGCCGATACGTGTGAATTTCCACCCAACCCTCGATCGACCAAGATTCCGACGGAGCATGGGGAATGTTCTAGAACCTTCCGGTTGACGTGTCGGAAATCGGCCCGTGTAGTCTCCAAATGCCCGTCGAACCTTTGGTGCTTGTGGAAAGGAAGGATTATTATGGCAGCCCTTTTCGAGTCTGCACTCGTGCATATATCCTCGTGCATTGATGACATAGGCGAGATGGCGGTTGTCGGTCGGATCGACACCTGGCTGAGGTGGTGGAAGGCTTCGAAGGCAACTACTATTTGATTCGAATCGGAGGTGTTCGATTTGTTCCAAAACGGGAGCCCGTTTTTTCTGGCCTTATGGACCATTAGTATAGCGGAGGATCTTTCGGAGAGCTCCATCAAGTGCATTGCGTATACACGAAGCCCTCCCTTTTTACCGGTCCCACGTGAGGCTTCGATTAGATTCATTAACGTGGGGATGTTTCTTGTGCTATGGAAACATGCCAGCATTCGTATTTGAGTGTTGGCTTCTTTTCTTTGTATGGTTCTGTATTTGTATTCGAATTTCGCCATTTGAGCTGGCTTGTATATTGCCATGACAATCGGTGTCGTTAGAAATGTCGTGAATAAAGCCATCAAAACCATGATGGCGAATGTTTGATCATTCAAAACCTACAAATTCAGACAAACGAAAAAATTAAATAAAAAATTAAGAGAGCAAAAAAGAAGGTAACTTTATATTAATTTACCCCTCGATCTCGTCCAATATTGAGTACGATGAGTTCGACCAAGCCTTTAGTGTTCATCAAGAAACCTAGGGTTAGTGCCTCTTTAAACGGAACCTTACACAACAGAGAGACTAAAACAGTGCCGACAATCTTTCCGAAACAAGCTGTGAATATGACCAAAGCAAGTAGGCCCCACGATTCAGCTCCTTGAATGGTGGCCACATCTGTTTTCAACCCACTCGAGACGAAGTATAGAGGAAGAAAAAGACCCGAAACAAGATCCTCCACTTTCTCCACAAGTGCTCCGGCAAACGCACCCTCCTTCGGAACAAGAACCCCCATCACGAACGCACCGAAAAGCGCGTGTATCCCGATTGTATCGGTGACAAAACCAGCCGCCAGGACTGCCGCCAGTGTGGCGCATATGTATATCTCGTCCACCGGCTCACCTTGAGGGCATCTTCGAGCAATCCATTTGAATATAGGAGGAGCAATGAATATGCAAGAAGTTATAAAACCGAAGCCACATAAAAAAACCCATAAAGAAACTAGGGGAGAACGGCCAACGCCAGATAAGGCAATAGCTAGCGCGAGTAGAATCCATGCTGCCACGTCATTGACAGCAGCTGCTGACATGGCCATTCGCCCTACATCTGTGGTTAAGAGTTTGAGTTCGGCTAAAATACGAGCTAAAACCGGGAAGGCGGTTATAGAGAGGGCGACTCCCATGAATACTAGAAACGGGCCTTCGTTTACACCTTTGGAGATAGTTGCTCTGAGTACGATTGAGGTGCCGACACCTAGTGCGAATGGGAGGCTGATTCCGGCGAGGGCGATGCTTAGTGCTTTTTTACCGGTTTGGCGGAGGGATTTTGGGTCGAGTTCGAGGCCGACTAAGAACAAGAAGAAGAGGAGCCCGAGATTTGCTAAGGTATCTAGTACAGTAAGGCTTCGGGCGGGGAAAATAGCTTGAAGATATTTATGGTTTCTGCCTAATGCTGATGGACCAAGTAGAACTCCTCCCTGCCAATTAATCAACGACGTCGAAAAAGGCAGGAATCAAAGAGATATTCAACTGTGTCGTAAATCACGAAAAAAATTTCAAAATTCGAAGATGAATCACCATCTTCGAATAAAAAAAAAGTAAACATAAGAGAACCCGTAAAAAGATAACAATGAAATTTACATACGATTTTTTGTACTTGGATAAAACAACAACGGCGAAAAGGAAACTCACGATGATCTCGGCGATGACACGTGGCTGTCTTAGCGGCCTGAGAATATATGCTAGTACTCGAGTCAGAACCACCACAAGGCATATCTGTACAATTAGTAGTGGAAGTGCAAAATGGAGAGGATTATCCCCTTGGAAGACCCCGTTTGAGGCGGCCTTCATCGGTGGCGGGCATTTCGCTGTTCCATTCGAAGCCATGTTGAAAGCAAAACCAACCCCAAAGAGAAAAAGAAAAACGAAACCGCTTATCTCAATTCGATCCCTGCATCACACAATCACTAAATGTTGGTAAAACTAGATTATCTTATATCCTTTTGACAAGTAAAAAAGAAGCTAGAAATAGAGGTGGAAACCAAACCAAGCTACTCAATACTCAATTCGAGACCGTTCTTTAAAAGCTCGTTTTTGTTAACATAAAAATGAACGAAACTCAAGCTAGTTGAGCTCGATTTATATTAGGTTTAATTAAAGCTAGTTCGAGCTCGACTCGGTTGCTTATCAAACCAAACTCGGACACAACTTTTTGAAAGCTCGATAAAAAATCAAAACAATTCAGACAACCATGTGTTCGGCTCGATTTATTGATTCGTTTACACCCCTAGCTAGTAATAATGCAATAAAACAAAGACTGAACCAAAGAAAACTTGGGTTTATGACAAAAAAATAACATGGTTGGTCCAATAAAATTCTACAATAATTTATTCTAAATATACACCTAACTTACTCATCTTAAACAGATGCTAGAGAGAGAGAGAGAGAGCAGGGTAACTACAGTTAGCAACAGAGCAATTTGATTAGCTTTCATATCTTCCAATAAATATTACCAATTAATTACCTTAATTTTCCCTTTGGCTGAAAGAGAACCTGATTTTTTTTAGGGGAAACAGACAGAATGAAGATCGTTGAACTATATTCACCACATCACAATATGGTTTCTATTGTTTAATTACGATAAGACAAAATAAAATAAATAAATAATTAAGATAAATATTTTTTGTTGTTCTCTAACTAAATCTGAAAAAAATCTCCATTGTTGACCGCCGAAGAAGTGAATATATATATATATATATATATATATATATATATATATATATATATATATATATATATATATACTTTCATATACACCTTTTCCTTTCCAACATAAACCCTTATTATAGTTTTCTCGCCACCTGTTGCGCCGACCTTTCGTTTCTGTGCGTTCCCAAATTCCAACGCGAAAATCATTAAGGATCGGCCGTCCAAAAGACGCTAATGCCCCTTACTCCCCCAATCAATTTCCCCCAAAAAATAAAACAAAAAAAAAAAAATCGAAGCTTTGCACAAAATCTAGGTCTCCGTTAACATAATCCAGCTCCTACAAATCCAAATTTCTGTAATTTTTTTACGTGTATTGTGTGTGTTTTTTGGTAATCATATCAACTTTGTCATACACGTAATGCATAAAACGTGTGTGTGTGTGTGTGTGTGTGTGAGAGAGAGAGAGAGAGAGAGAGAGAGAGAGAGAGAGAGAGACCTGATTCCCTGAATATAGCGGTGGTAGAACGGTGGAAGAAAGATGTGGGGGAATGTTTGGCCATCACCACTGCACCGCTTTGCAAACCCCTATTAAATGAAGTGCGATTATTTTCTGCATTCAGAATTCTCGAAATAGAAATAGGATGAGAGAGAGAGAGAGAGAGAGAGAGAGAAGAGATGTTTAAAGGGGAAAAGGGGAAGAAGAGACAAAATAGAGAGAGAGAGAAATTTGGCCGGAATAGATTTGAAATTGCGCCGGGAAGAGGCTATATTGTTGAACCTATTTATAGGACCGGGATAATTTTGGTCTGACAATAATGCCCTTGTAACTTGCTTGAACTACTACTATTTTTTTTTTATTTTTTCTTTTACTATTCAATTCTAAATTCTAAAGCTATGATATTTAGATTTATAATAATAAACTCACGGGCAAATTACACACATCCCCTGAGATAAGATTAAATTAAAAGAAAATTCCTCTTTTTTTGATAATTACAACCACTCTCCTCTATAATGTGTTATATTATGAAAATTCCCTGCTTAAGAAGGTAAATTTGACACCATAAGAATGGATGCGTAAGACAATGTGTAATTGAGTGGATGTATGTAATTATCCGAATAAGAAGGATTTTCTCGTAATTTAATTTGATCTCAGATGGATGTAATTATCCGAATAAGTAAGGATTTACGAATTATCCGAATAAGAAGGATTTTCTCGTAATTTAATTTGATCTCAAAAGGGTGACCGTAATTTGATTGTCGTAAAAATGTTACTATGTAAAATATAGTTAATATATTAATAGTACATAAAGCAAGTAAGCAACCTCATGATTTGGAAGGTTTGTATTAGTGAGTAGTGACCATAAAAATGTTCTACTTGTTAAGGTTATTTTAAACATTTGATGAGCTATTATATCTTATAAGTTTTAAGAGCCGATAAGTTGTTACGTCTTATTCCTAAAATTAATTTTTGAGTGTTTGGATAATAAGTTTATAAGTTGTTTTTACCGTTTTTGAGATTTTAAATAAAAATGTGGTGTATGGATATTTTTTAAAAGAGACCTTATAAGCTCTTCAAAAGCTTATTTTTTAAGAATTTAAGATCTTTTTGAAAAAAAAATACCAAAACTTTTAAAAAATTAATAAACTCTTAAACATCTTATAAGTTATTTTTAACAACTTATAATCTTAGCCAAACAGCATTTTAAGTCTTTAGTTAAACACCTAACTAATTAACTAATTATATTGTACTTGCCACGCTTGAAAACTAAACATTTTTTAAGTACCTAACTAATTTACTAATTATATTGTACTTGGCCATCCCTTGGACATTAAACATAACTTTGTTATGTAACTTTTTATTAAATCATCTACTAAGAAATGGAAAAGGATAGAAGTACAAAATTAGAGCCTATTTAATAGGCACTATTGGTCATTAACCTAATAAGCTCCTATGAAACTTCAAACAAATAAGATATATTTAGATATGCACTGGTTATTGTGGAAATTGGAAAGGAATTTCGAATTCCGCTTATTTCGATTCAAAATTTTTGGTTTTGAAATACTATTTTTCATTCTGAATTTTGAAAGTTTTGATTTCCGTTTTTTACTATTTATTTTTAAAATATAATTGGAAATGCTTATTAGATTCCGATTTCTGATCAGATTTTAATTTCAAGATATATTTCGATATTTTTTTTCTTCTAAAAATGCACATGTTATGTTTACTATTCAAACTTTAAATCCCTATTTCACATTTTTCATTTTGAAATCATTTCCCATTTTACTTTAATAGATGTCAAAAAACAAGTCAACAACTATTGCAACTCGTGAAAAAAAAGAGGTCTTTAAGAAGAAAGCATTGAACTTGTAGCATTGAAGTTCATATTCTCCTTGTGAACATAACTTTCACCACTTGTTAGGTTTGGACACCCATGATTTTACATGTTGCTTTTAGGACAATGATAATTATTTTGCCCTATCTTTGCTATTTGAGTATATTTGTATAGTAGTGTTTACATTTTTAGAAATCCCCTTTTGAAATATTTTGGTCTAAACTAAAGGGACTGATAAAAGTTAAATCAAATAAACGAAATATCCTTATTTCAGTAAGCTACACCGTAATAACTCACCACTTTAGGATTTGTGTGTTAAAGAAAATGCGGGGTTCTGTTAATTTTAATAGGCAAATTATGGCCACCCCTAAAATATGGTCAAATTATGAAAAAACCCCTTATGTTTAGGTTATTACAACCATCGATCAATTATGTATTTACTTACATGTTCACTCTTTCGGTATCAAATTTACATACTGAATGAGTGGTTTTTCCGTAAAAATATATACCCAAACAAGATAATATTTTTTGTAATTTTATCTTACCTCAAAGGTGGCCGCAATTCATTTTAATAATACAGGGAACTGGTTTAACAATTTGATACAACACAAAATCACTAAATACAATAAATTTATTATTTAACATACAAATTTTGAAAAAGAAAATCAAAGGAGAAATTTTGGTAAATAATGCCTGATGGTAATGAAAAGTAGGGTAAATTATACATATACTATTGATGTATGCTAAAATAATTTTAAGGTCCATATGGTATTGGTAATTACAATCACACCCCAGAAAAATTACTGGAGCCAAGAGATTTCATTGCTTGGGGACCGATATGCACTATATTTATATCCAAAGGGGCCGTTAATGTTACCATAGACGAAAATTTATAAATCTTATATAAAATAATAAGGATTTAAAAAATGTTAGGAGAACCATGTCACTCCCTAGCTCTATGCTATCTCCACCACTCTCTGAAACTAGTAGTCCGTTGAAACCCAAACGGAATAACTTTTTATCTAATGCATTATTCCGTTAGAGTTTCTAACATTGTTTCAGGGGTGATCTTAATTATCGATACTATATGAAACTTAAAGTTATTTTATCGTACTATATGAACTTTAAAGTTATTTTATCCTACATCAAAGCTATAGGTGTAATTTACTCTAAAAAGTATATGAAATAACCTTTTTAAGGTATGGAAGCAACGGACAAACACATGTAGTATTTCTCTTGGTAATAAATGAACAAACAAACATATCACGTGTGAAGTCAAATAAGCTAACACGACTTATTTGAATGGTTCCTAGTAAATTTCAACAATGTTAATTCAAACTCAAGCGTGAACTTGCCACTAAAGTTTCATTAATCGACACGTCAATTTGTGAACGCTTGAGTAATTAAGGTTTAATTTTTAAGTTTTAATTAATACTACTATCAATATTTTGTTACTATATGATGGTGTATGATCTACATCTGCACTAACTTTTTCCAACCACTATTCCTTTGATCATAGGAAAAGTCCACCGAACGCCGGTCTTTCGTCGTGATGATGAGTTGACCGGACGGAAAGTATTAAGAATAAGAGATAATCTAAAAAAGAGTGCATTATTAATTGTATTATTGTGACTTGCCCAAAAAACTTAACCCTAACTAGGTTGTTGTATTCATTATATTTATATAGGGAATTTCTAAATAAACATTTACTATCTTATAGCCCCTTAATTGGTTCAAGATTTGATCATGATTATACAATTACCGCGTGAGATCTTTTATTTACTTAATCTATTTATGGAGAAAATCCTTAGATTGAAAACAAGCTTGGATTTAGGTCCCCACCTACCGCGTGCCCTTCTTCTTCTAATAAGAATATGAATAATCATTATATGATAAATTTCTGTACATATCAATCCGATTACAGATGTCAATATATAGGAGTATACAAACTCTATTCTAGAGAGAATATTGACTAGCATATTTCATCCTAAAATCAAGGGAAATATATAAGGATAATATACAGTAATTATCGGTTGATAATTATACATAAATGGGCAGTAATTACGGGATTTGTTCCAACACTCCCCCTCAAGTTGGCGAGTGAATATCATGAAGTCCCAACTTGTCTCTTAAATAATGAAATTGCTCACTTCCTAGAGGCTTGGTGAAAATGTCTGCAAGTTGTGAACGTGATGGAACATATGAAGTCGATATGATTCCAGTTTGTAGCTTTTCTCGCACAGTATGACAATCAATCTCTATGTGCTTAGTTCGCTCATGGAACACGGGATTTTTAGCAATATGGAGAGCTGCTTGATTGTCACAAAATAGAGTCGTTGGCTGATTTTGTACGATCTTAAGGTCTTGCAAAATGTATCGTATCCATGTGATCTCCAAACACGTCGTAGCCATAGCTCGATATTCTGCTTCAGCGGATGATCGGGCCACGTTAGTCTGCTTCTTTGATTTCCAAGAAATTAATGAGTTACCTAAAAATACACAATATCCTGAAATAGATCGTCGAGTCACTGTGCACCCTGCCCAATCCGAATCACAATAGGCCTTCAACGTTAGGTCGTTAGATGATGAAAAAAGTAATCCTTGACCAGGATTGCCTTTAATGAATCTCACCACCCTTAAAGCAGCTTCCCAGTGAGGTTTTCGTGGATTTTGCATAAATTGACTAAGAATTTGTACGGAGTACAATATATCAGGCCTTGTTACTGTAAGGTAAATCAATTTTCCGACAAGCCTTCTATACTTGGTAGGATCAAGTAGTAATTCACCATCATCAGGCTTCAACTTCAAATGTTCTTCCATTGGAAATGATTGAGGACGAGATCCCAATAACCCAGTATCCTTCAAAACATCTAGTGCATATTTCCTTTGAGAAATAAAGATTCCTTTTTGGGATCGAGAGACTTCTATGCCAAGGAAATACTTTAGGTTACCAAGATCCTTGATGCGGAATTGTCGAAGGAGGAACTCTTTGAGGGACTTAATAGCATGCTCGTTATTTCCAGTGACAATAATGTCATCAACATAGATAAGGACAGCAGTAAATAAGCTTCCTTCAGATTTTGTGAATAAGGAATAATCGGCCTTTGATTGCTTGAATCCTGCTCTTTGGATGGCATTAGAGAATTTTGCAAACCAGTTGCGTGAAGCCTGTTTTAATCCATAGATGGATTGATTGAGCCGACATACAATATTCTTCCCCTGTCGGTGAAGACCAGGAGGAACCTCCATATATACCTCTTCATCTAGATCGCCATGGAGAAACGCATTTTGAACATCCATTTGATGAAGAAACCAGTTATGTGACGCGGCAATGGATAAGAGGCACCTCATGGTAGTGAGTTTAGCTGTAGGAGAAAAAGTTTCCAAATAATCCACCCCCTCAATTTGTGTATAGCCTTTAGCAACAAGTCGAGCTTTATATCGTTCAATCGAGCCATCAAAGTTGTATTTGATCTTATAGACCCATTTACAACCAATCGGCCGATGTCCAGGAGGTAACGGAACAAGTTTCCAAGTGTTGTTATGAGTAAGAGCATCAAGTTCAGATTGCATAGCATCTTTCCATTTTGGATCGAGAATTGCCTGAGAATAGTTAGTGGGCTCACGGTGGTTAGAAATAGTTGCAAGAAAAGAAATTTGAGATGGAGAAATGCATGAATAAGATAAAGAACGAGAGAGAGGGTGTCTTGTACCTCGGTAAAGACCAGGCAACGGAAATGACGATTGGTGGGGTTTTGCTTGAGCGAAGTTCATAGAGTAATCTGCATGCCAAACGGGACGAGTGCGAGATCGATCTGACCGACGAGTTATTGGTGTAGGGTGTGACTCAACAAGGGGTAATTCTACTGGTTCAATATTAGGAGTAGACGAATCAGGTAGTTGAACGATTGGAGAAGTCGATTCATTGGAACTAGGAATATCAGTAGTAATGGATAATTCATTATCAAGGATTTGTTCAGTAGGTGTGGGGACTGTGTTTAATGGATAAAGATGGGAATGGCTAGGGTTGGGTAATGGTGGGAGGTTTGTTTGGAAAGGAAATATATGCTCATGGAATTTGACATCTCGGCTGACAAAAAATTTCTTGGTTTCTAAGTCAAATAATTTATAACCTTTTTGACCGGTAGGATATCCAACAAAAGTACAACGATTCGCACGGGGTTCAAACTTGGTGATAGGGTGAACAACAGTGGCATAACACAGGCAACCAAAAACACGAAGATGTTCATACGATGGTGAACGATGATATAAACGTTCATATGGGGTAAGGTTAGACAAAAGTGGCGTTGGTAAACGATTAATTAAATAGACAGCGGTTTGTACGCATTCCCCCCAAAAAGTAATAGGTAAATGAGATTGAAAGAGAAGAGCTCTAGCAACTTGTAAAATATGACGATGCTTACGCTCGACGACTCCATTTTGTTGTGGAGTGTAAACACAAGAACGTTGAAATTCAATTCCTTTTGTGAGAAAAAAATTGCATAAGGAAGTGAATTCTTTGCCATTATCGCTCCGAATCTTTTTGATTTTAGACTTGAATTGAGTTTCAATAAATGTAAAGAAAGACACGAGCAAGGTAGAAACATCTGATTTTGATGTCATAAAAAATACCCATGTGCATCGAGTAAAATCATCGACAATTGTTAAAAAATAACGAGCGCCTGCATGTGTTGAAAATTTATGTGGACCCCAAATATCGCAATGAATTAATTCAAAAGGTAAATTTGAAGAAATTTTACTTGAGGGAAAAGGAAAACGTGTTTGTTTAGCAAGGGGACAAATATCACAAGTACTATTGGAGGATGTATTATAAGATAAAAGAGGCTTAGACACTAGACGCAGACATGCAGAAGATGGATGACCAAGGCGATTGTGCCATATATGGCTGTTGGTGTGGGCATGGTACAGGGCAGGTGAATTTGAGGTCGGTGTCATGAAGTAAAGGCCTCCGCGTTGCTTACCCCAACCAATCATCTTTCCCGTAGCCAAGTCCTCCAAGACACAATGATTTGGATATAGAAGAGCGCAACAGTTCAAAGACTTAGTAATCTTACTAGCAGATATTAAATTTAATTGAAAAGAAGGCACGTGGAGTACATTTTCTAAAATAATGTCCTTATTAAATAAAATTGTGCCAGTGGAGGTAATTGGGGCAGTAGAGCCAGTAGGTAAATTGACATGGGGTATTTTTGTTTTATCTGTTTGAATAAGTAAATCGGAGTTAGAAGTGATATGATCCGTGGCTCCACTATCTAGAATCCAACAATGGGTCGAAACAGAATTAAGAGAGGGAGAATGATCCAGACCTGCAGCGTTGGCATATACATCACTCTTACTCTTAGACATGGTGGCCATGGCAGCGGTTAATTGTTGAATCTGATCATTGGATAAGTCTGGACAGATAGCTTTCAAATTTGAGCCAAGAGAAGGGTGAACATCGGTACTTTCTTTTAGATTGACCACCATATTATCCATGTTAAAAGGCGTAGTTGTAGTAGCATGTGCAGCGGAATAGGTTTGGCCTTGAATTTGATGGCCCGGTAATTTAGCACGCCTTGATTTGTATTGAGGATCGTATTTCGGTTTGAAACTTGGATCATGTCTCGGGTGTCCAGGTGGAAATCGATGGAGTTTATGACATGTACCAATAACATGACCATCTTTTTTGCAATAATGACAAAAGAAATCTTCAGATTTTGAAAATGAATTACCAGCAGATTTTTGAGTTATTTTGGAAGTCCTTAGAGCTGGTGCCACAGAAAAATTATCGGTAAGAGAACCACTTCCAACCTCTCGTTGTTTCTCCTCTTGAGTCACCATATTATATGCTTCTCGGATGTCCGGGACTGGTTTCAAGAGTAGTATTTGACTTCGAACAGCCTTGTATGAATCGTTGAGTCCCATAAGAAATTGCATTAATCGATCTTCTTTATGATATGCATCTCGATTCTTCTTTTCATCACATTTACAACAATCGCATGAGCAAGGGGGAGCGATAGGAATCGAGTTCATCCCAATATCCACGCAATTTTGTAAAATAATTTGCCACTGTCATACTTCCTTGGACATGAGATACGATGGACTGTTTTATTTCAAAAATTCGTGGAAGATTACCTTGGGAGAAACGAGCCCGAAAATCTTCCCAAATATGTTGGGCAGTAGGAGCAAAAAGAACATTTGGAACAAGATCTGGTGAAACAGAGTGTGAGAACCACGAAATCAACATATGATTTGCACGTTCCCATAAGATATATTCTTCGGGATGTGTATTTTTGGAGGGTTTCTTAAATCTTCCATCGATGAAACCCAATTTATTTCGGACCGAAAGGGCGATCTCGACGGACTTGCTCCACGTAGCCCAATTATCGCCATTAAGTAATTGAGATGAAAGTGAGATGGAAGAATTATCAGAATGGTGAAAATAGTAGCAATTGGATGGGTCAAGGGTGTCTGCTGATTTGGTAGGAGTTTTATTGTCTGCGGGATTTGTCATGTGGAATGGAGTAGATATGAAATAAGATTAAAATAATGTAATGAGAATTTGAATTGAATGAAAAGAAATAAGAGTGCGATAGCTTTTGTATAATGGTGAACTGATGGGGTTGGAAAAAATATTTTTATGAATATGTGGAATAGTGGTTCTGTGAAGGAATTATGATGAAGAAATATAGAAGAGGATCAGCGATGGTTTCTCCAGAGTCTAGAGAAGAAAATGATCGTTCTTAGGCTGATACCATGATAAGAATATGAATAATCATTATATGATAAATTTCTGTACATATCAATCCGATTACAGATGTCAATATATAGGAGTATACAAACTCTATTCTAGAGAGAATATTGACTAGCATATTTCATCCTAAAATCAAGGGAAATATATAAGGATAATATACAGTAATTATCGGTTGATAATTATACATAAATGGGCAGTAATTACGGGATTTGTTCCAACATCTTCTTCCTATTAAACGTATCAAGAACAGTCCACCAAAGTTAATGGTCTTGAGCTCTCAGTTCCCCGATGCGGTGCTTGTACGGTAAGGTTGTTTTCAATATGTGGACTTTCGACTTACTATGCTTATGACTTATTGGTCCTTCAACCCATTAATTTAAATATGAGGAGTTCGGCCCATTAGTACATAATTGAACCCATCACTATATATTATTATTGAGAAAATTACAGTTTTCACCCCTCAAGTTTGCACTAATTTCACATTTGGCCTCATTTATTTACAAAAAATACATTTTGTCCCTCATATTTCAATAATTTGACATTTTTTGTCATTTCCATCAATTTATCGTTAGTACGTCAATTAAGGCAGTGATGTGCACAAGCTTGATTCCGTAAGTACTAACGGAAAATTGACGAAGACGACCAAAACTGCCAAATTATTGTAACATAAGGGACCAAATGTGTTTATTGTGAACACAGGGAACCAAATGTGAAATCGGTGCAAATTTGAGGTACGGAACTGTATTTTTCCCTATTATTGTTACATGACAAGTTTGAAAAATTGTTTTGTAAAACTTTCTGATATTACTAAAGTTTAAACCAAATATATATGAGAAAAAATCGAAAGTGTATTCAATCTGGTCTTAAATTAACCGACCGGCCTAATTAACCAATTCGTAACTTCCTTAAACGTTTTTTTTCGTTACTCTGACGACCTCTAACTGCTTGTACGTAACTCAGTTGTTTCTGCATTGTTCGATTTTGATCACATCATCGAGAATACGAAGGAGGGCTCTCTTTGCTTCGGATCGCCTTCGATAATCGACATCGTTTTTTCGTCTAAATCAATCACAGCCGTGCATAGTGTGTATAGTAATGGACCTATATATATATGTAACACATGAAAAATAATAATAACTAAAATAATAATTAAAACCAGCAAAATATATGTACAATTTATTTTTTTAATTTCACATACCTGTCATGTAAATAGGATATTTTGTGTGATTATTATTGTCACCAAGAAGTGAGAGAAACTCACTTCTTGATCTTTTGGGCAGCATTTCAGCTCTCGTTTGCCGACTCAATGAGTTCTCGTCTTGTTCCTGTACGTGTGTGATTATGTGTAAATTTACGTTTATTTGCAAAGTTTTCGATTTTATCTAAAATGGGATATAAAAAAAAAAAAAAAAAAAAAAAAAAAAAAAAAAAATCCCCTGCCTGGTGAACTTCAAGATGAAGGTACATATTGGCGTGGAAAAAAGGCTCCGGTCCCACTTCGTGAACCGAGTATCGATTTCTTGATGCTGTCTCGACGTTCAAGATTTTACGTGTTCTGACGTCGATTAGATTGTAGCTGTGCCCTACGGAAGCTTCCGACGAATAAATCATCTAAATTAAAGCAAGTACACACGAAATCTTGCATTAGTAATCGATCGTTTTCATTTCACTACGTAAAAATTTCAAAGTTAGGACAGAATCGAAACGTTACCGCTAAGGCATCGTCAATGCTTTGTGCTTCAAGCAAATCCCTTGAGATAAAGTTTCTGCCTATTGCCCCAGCTGCAATCTCATGCTTACAAGGTGGAACCGAATTCAGCGTGAACGCCTGCACAAAATTACGATTTAACCCTTTTCCCCGGCCCCTCTTTACTCTAATTGTCAGAAAAATCCCCGTGCTATAAATATTAGCAAAATCCCCCCTGAAAATGCGCCATTATTTATAACACGAGAGTTTTTTTAGCAACTCGGTAATAAATTCACCGTTACGTAAATGCAGTTAACAAATTAAAATCGAACCCTAGAGCATCGGAGTCATTTTACTTATATACGCATGCAATTTTAAAGTACAATGAAATGAATACCAGTCCACAACTATTGAACCCGAAAGCGCAGCTCGGTAACTCCCCTGCATACGTGTAAGCGGTGAACGACACCCCGTTCGACAAAATTCCCTTAATCAAATATCTGCAATAGTAAAAAAAATTAAAAAATCCATTTTTTTCGAACTTCCTTATTTTCGCATCGTAACTTAAAAAATAAAAAACGACGCCCTCGACGATAATTATATGTATATCAAAATACGCATACGTATGGCCCACAAGGGCGACATTCGCATCCTCGTTATGCGCTGCAACAGCCATTGATTCACTAACAACAAGAACATCCGAACAATCGTCGTTAGTTTCATCGTACACCGAATTATTATTTTCTTCCTTCGGAATAAACGGAAGTATCTCCTTCCTAAAATTCAGCAGCATTATCTACATAAAGAATAAATAAAAAAATTAATGTCACACAAACTAACTAGTACAATATAAAGACAATTAATTAAGATTTGTCCGAAAAGTTATTTACTCGCCTCGAGAAAAGACGAGCGGCTTCCTTCGGCGGTTCCTCGGAGTTCATCCCAGTAATCAGGGTACTTTTCCATGTTTGTTTCTGATAAGGATTTGAGGAGTGGCTTTGAGTTTGGTGAGTGTGCAAATGGGAGAAGCTGGTTGTGTAAAACGAGGTCGTTTTCAAGTCGGCTTTTTATTTGTTTCGAGAATTTTTGGCCGATTAATAATCCCATTTCGTAGCCATTTTCACAGGGGCCAACTTCAAATATTTCTAACATTTTTGTTGCCATGTTATTGTTCATGTTCAACATTTTTTTGTTTTAACTGTTTTTTTCTAATAAAATTGTGTGTGTGTGTGTGTGTGTGTGTTTTTCTGAGGGGAGAAAAGTTGTTTGTTTTGTTTTGCACCTTATCTTCATGTGAAAAATCGTGTTTTGTTCAGATGATTAGTCGTGGTTTACCTTTTATTGATGCCTAATTCAGATATTTTTTTGTTAAATTATAACACCTCTGGGGGAAGGTTGATTTTAAAAAAAACCCATCATTTTTCCATAATTACATCCACTCTCTTGCGATTTGTAGTTTTCTTACATTGACACTCTTTTGTAGGGGGCAGATGTATATATATATATATATATATATGATATGATATGATATTTTAATTAAAAATTAGGTATATGAACTTATTTTTTGCAATGTTTTGTGCACCTAAATTTTTTTTCGGGGCGTTGCCCCGAACCCCAAAATTTTAGTTAGCCCCCCCTACATTCTAATCCTGGTTCTGCCACAGGTTGGGTCGGCAACAATTTTCAAATTTGAGCAAAAATGATTTGATGGATTGGTCGGTTTTTAAGCTGGTAATTGGTCGACCTAACCCAGTCCCGACCCTAGTTTCACGTGTATGGGGCACTTGAAGAGTAAATGACTGTTCATTTCGAACTTACAAACAAATTAAGAGCATATTCAAGAGTGATTAAATACTTACGCTTTAGGTTAATTAATCTCACTTTTTAATTTATTTTTATAATAAAATAATCATAATTAATCTTTGTTGATGTGTTGATAAGTGGTTACAACTCAACTCATATATGAACAATAAGAAATGTGACACGAGAAGGAAATACTTGGAGAATTTAAATTCAAGGACAATTGGACACACAACTATCGTGTGGAATGAAGTTGTTTGTTTTCATTTATAAAATAACAAATTGTAGATTGAACTCTTTCTATTTCAATTACAAAATTAGATTATCACACATTATAAAACTTAATTTCCTCTCATCTTAAAAAACCAATTGAGGCTTGGAAATATTCCAAAATTTTTGAAAATGCAAAACTTAGGACATAAAAATAAAGGGTGTTATCTAAAATTTAGCTGACACTAGTATTCTTTTTCCGTACGATCCACGAAATATCATTTCAAAATTGAAAAAGAAAAGATCAATTTAATAGATGACAGTAATGTAATAGTTATACTAATAAATGAAAGAAATTGCAGAAATAAGAGATAATGGTTGAAAAGTTAGAGCTAGATCTAGGGGTAGAATTCGTTTTAAGGATTAGTAGTGAATTATGACTGAATAACAATCTGCTAAATATGCTATGAAAAATAGGCTATAAATTAGGAGTCGGAAATTGGAGATGAAATTAGTATAAAAAAATTATAAAATAATTACAAAAATGCCAGTGAAGTTTCTCAGATTGTCCTAGCGATTATTACTTTTCTATATAAGATTTCATGTTACTAATATATACAGTAGAACCTCGATAAATCAATAATTTCGTTTAAATAATAATATTTTTCGATCCCAATTTGAAAACAACACGTTAAAAAACTATATCATTAAATTAATAGAATTTGGTTGGTCTCGACCGTAAATTTATATATATTTAACTATATTTAGTAATCGCTATCTAATTATGTAGTTAAATATATGTTAGTTGCACTTGCATCCAAAACTAATCCAATCATAATCCCAACTAATATTCACCTAAAGTAGCAAAGCCCTAGAGAAAAATACAGCCCGGCCCGAAAACCAAAAAAGGTAAATATATATATTATATATATTTCATTCATTTGATTCATTCAAATATTTAAAATTAAAAATCTTCAGAAAAAATAGAAATGATCTGAAAACAGTTCAATAAATATCAATCAAAAGATAAAACCCCAAATCCGAATTTCCCCTTTCTCCACAAAAAAAAAAAAAAGAAAACTTTCCGTTACTTCTTCTCCCTTGTAATCTTCTCCCCTTCCTTACGAAACCCTTGTTATAATCAAACGATATATATATATATAAATTGGGGGAAAAATTGGAGTTTGTTTGAATCCAAGAACGATTTCAATGGAGTCGGATACCTCGCCGGATACGGGCTCACCCGTATCTTCATCGGACTTTGGGTTTGCTTTCAACGACGTCAATTTCTCGGATAGGCTTTTGCGGATCGAGATCCTACCCGACTTGCCCGGATCCAAACCCGACGCGGATGACAGCCTCGCCGATTGGGCGCGTAATAGGAAGCGCCGCCGCGACGACCAGCTCACAAATGCTGTTGGTATGAGTTTTATTTGTGGATAAATTATTGTGAAAATGAGGTTTTATATTTGTCCATTTGTTTTAATTTTTTGTTGTTCTGTGTTTTTTTTTTGTGGTTTTAGGTTTAAATTTGTTTTGGGGGGTTTCTGCTTGATTTCGTTTTGATGGGAATTAGTTAGGGTTCGTGATTTTGTGGCTCTGGTCTCGACAGGGGATTGGGATATGGGTTTTAAAAAATTAAATTAAATAATTTAAACTACCAATTTTTGGTTTTAGGTTTGTTTGTAAAATCTAATTTACATTTTGTTGCTAATTTAACATGAAATTATTTTAAGTCTGATCAATTGTCACTCCTATGGACACGAGCTGTATGCCAATTTCGTTTACATTTTTTTTTAACTTTGCAGAACTGGCGGATCAACGTGAAGAGCAGATTTTGAATGGCAATATGCCTGATTTGGAAGATGGTGTTACTTACGAAAATCAAGAAGAAGTTGTTGCGATGGTTGAGGAGTTACCCGTAGGTGGAGAAATCGCAACAGATCAATCTGGTAAGTTTAGTATAACTGTGCTTAGAGTGGCTTTATTAAGGGTCTAATCTTGTATTGCTCCTTAAAGATTATTTAATGTAACAAGCTCGAAAAAGTAATCAGTCTTCATCTAGAACCTTCGAATAGCAAAAGAATAGATGGATGCGTATCCTATCCAATCTATCCCATTTAAGGCGATAGGACACGATAGACAATATAATCCGAATTTATCAAACCCTATTTTAGTGCAAACTCAACCCCTATTATTACACATTCCTATGAAGGATATTACCCAATACAAGATTTCTACGATTTATAAGATAATCACATGTTATATTATCACGGACAATGTAATTCCAAACAATCGAATGAATCTTATAAATCCCTACTAAACGAGGCTTTAATGTATTACTTTACATTTGAGAGTTTGATTTTTGGGTTCATGATTCTAGAACTAGAAATGTTAATTTGAAAATGTTATAGGTCATGAAGCTGCCCAAAGAAATGAAGCATCCTCTAGCATGGACTATTTGACAGTTCAAGTTAAGACTATACACATCAGCTCTCCAATTTTGGCAGCAAAGAGTCCGTTTTTCTACAAGGTATGCCGTCTTAAATGTAATTTTTTTGCTTCTATTGCCAATTTACCACTATATTGATTTGTATTCCAATGTTTCATTTGTTTTGAAGTTGTTCTCAAATGGTATGAGAGAGTCAGAGCAGCGACATGTAACCCTACGGATCCAAGCCTCAGGTAAACATGATAGTGCTGGTTTTTCTTTTTTTTGGGGGGGTCAAAATTTTGCCAAATATCAATTATTCTTTTTAGTACGTTTTGAATATCACTATTCTTTTTACCGAAGTGTTTTCTGTATTTTTTTGTTCGTAAATTGCTTTATTTTTACAAGGGCTCTTAGACATGGCATTTACAAGTATTTTTCTTCTGCTTTTTACATGTTATGAAATCATCGTCATAGAGAAATGTGCCTTATACATGAATGCTTAGCTTTATATATATTATTATATGTATAACATATATACATATGATTGCTTATTTGAATGAAAAGATTCAACTGATAATAGTTTGTTTCCCAACTTTGGTGAACAGAGGAAGCTGCTCTCTTGGATTTGCTGAACTTTATGTACAGCAATACTTTACCCAGAACTACACCGACTGCTTTACTGGACGTGTTAATGGCTGCTGACAAATTTGAGGTTGCCTCATGCATGAGGTACTGTAGCCGATTATTACGCAACTTACCAATGACGTGTGAATCAGCGTTGCTTTATTTGGATCTTCCTTCGACTATTTTAATGGCCGATACAGTTCAGCCACTCACAGACGCCGCCAAGCAGTTCCTTGCTGCACGCTTCAAGGATATAAGCAAGTGAGTACTTATGTTTATCTATTGGTATAAACTTATAAGAGTGAAGAAAGAAAATTTTGTTTTTCTTCCTTGTATAGATTAGCTAATGATCTTTTAAACTCCTTTCATAGATTTCAAGAAGAGGTGTTGAACTTGCCTTTAGCCGGAATCGAAGCAGTTCTATACAGTGACGACTTGCAGGTAGCTTCGGAAGATGCCGTTTACGATTTCGTCCTCAAGTGGGCCCGCGTGCATTACCCAAAACTCGAAGAAAGAAAAGAGATACTAAGCAACCGCCTGCTCCGTTTCGTTCGTTTTCCGTGCATGACATGCAGAAAGCTGAAAAAGGTGCTAACTTGCACTGACATAGATCAAGAACTTGCTTCCAAAGTAGTTATGGACGCTCTCTTCTTCAAGGCAGAAGCGCCCTACCGCCAGCGTTCCCTCGTCGCGGAGGAGACCAAAGCCTCCTTCCGTCGCTTCGTGGAGCGGGCCTACAAATACCGGCCTGTTAAAGTGGTTGAATTCGATTCGCCACGTCAGCAGTGCGTCGTTTATCTTGATTTGAAAAGGGAGGAGTGTGTGCAGCTGTTTCCTGCGGGTAGGGTCTACTCGCAGGCTTTCCATTTGGGCGGGCAGGGTTTTTTCCTTTCGGGTCATTGTAATATGGATCAGCAGAGTTCGTTTCATTGTTTCGGGATGTTTCTGGGTATGCAAGAGAAGGGTTCGGTTGCTTTTACGGTCGACTATGAATTTGCTTCGAGGACTAGCCCTTCTGAGGATTTTGTGAGCAAGTATAAAGGGAACTACACGTTCACTGGAGGGAAGGCTGTTGGGTACCGTAATCTGTTTGGTACACCATGGACCGCGTTTATAGCCGATGATAGCCCTTACTTCATTAACGGTGTTCTCCATTTGAGGGCTGAGCTGACCATCAAGAAATGAAATGAATTCTCGAAGAAAATGTGTTTCGTGTGTAGCTTTTCAAATGGCGGAATTATTAGAGTAGTGGAACTAAAGTCGAATGGCTATAATGTTTGTATTAGTTGAGGGGCCAAGCAAGTTCTTTTCTTGACTATCAAATACTCAAGGAACTATGTACATACTTATCGATCTATCTATCGATGTGTTTGATATTTCCGCATGTTTCTTATGTCCAACTTTTGTTGGATAGTTTTGCTGCTTTTTTTTTATTTTGTTTCATATAAGTTGAAGAAAATGAATATGGTTTTTATGCAATTGCCGAACGCACCCATAACTCAATAACCGGTCCCAAAAGAGAACTAGTGAATACATTCAGAAAACACAAGACCCGTAAAAAAAGTTTCTAAATCGACAAAATTTCGTGTTTGGAGAAGAGAAGAACTGCATTCTTTCTTGTTCTTAGAACATGGCATCAAGATTTACATCGGACGTATGCCGATCAACAATAACATGTATGCAGTTATAGTTAATATCAGCTGAAACTTCAGGTTCCTAATGGGAGCAAGGTGTTTCTTGCAGCAAAGTGGTCAATGAAAAATATATATGGGACCGAATGAAAGTATATTTTTCGTACTGTCCTAAGTATATAAATGATACAACACTCGTAATTCGAAACCGTAATTCGAAACCAGTATAGACATGAGCATCAATCAACATGACAATAAAAGGCTAAAACATAAACATCATAGAATGCCAAACAGATCACAAAGGACAGCCCGTATAGAATAATATCGTTCGAAAAGGCATTCCCATCTTATTTAACTGCATACACAAACAATGCAGAACCCCTACAAAAGTAATTTCTTTTTTCGAACAACGAAATCCTCATCAACTCAAATTTCAAATTAAAAACCCTTCAAGAAAATAACCGAAACTCAAAACAATAAGAAATAACCAAATCATACCATCTCGATACATAAATAGCACTCCCCACCTACAGTTTGGCATTTCTAGCAAGCTTGGACCACTCTGTATGGTACGCCCCCGGCAGATCAATTCTCTCGTAGGTATGCGCACCGAAATAGTCCCTCTGCGCCTGCACAAGATTCGCAGGGAGTCTCCCGCGCCTGTACGTATCGAAATACTGCAAACTCGCAGACATTCCGGGTACGCTAACCCCCTTCTGTATAGCCACCCCGACAACTCTCCTCCATGCCGATTGCCTCTGCACCATTTCCCGAGCGAATTCGGGGTCGACCAACAAGTTAGCCAATCCCGGATTCCTCTGATAAGCCTGCTTAATCCTATCCAAGAAAACCGCCCGGATAATACAACCTCCTTTCCAAATCCTAGCCAACTCCCCCAAATTCAAACCCCAACCCTTCTCCATACTCTTTGCCCTCAACAAGTTCATCCCTTGTGCGTAGCTGCAAATTTTCGACGCGTAGAGCGCTTGCCTAACATCGTCGATCAATCTTTTCTTGTCCACGTCGCCCACATTTTCGATCTCCTCTTTCAACCCTTCGTTCTTGAAAATCTCTGATGCAGCTTCTCTCTCCTCCTTCAAGCCGCTCATGTACCGACTGTCCAGTGAGGCGGCGATCGTGGGGGCGGCGATTGAGAGCTCGGCCGCTTGCTGCACGGTCCATTTTCCGGTACCCTTCATCCCGGTTTTGTCCAGGATTTTGTCCACTAAATGCCCGTTGCCCGTTTCGAGATCTTTCACCTTGAAAATATCGGTCGTGATCTCGATCAAGAAACTCTCGAGTTCGCCGCGGTTCCACTCCTCGAAAATCTCTGCCAGCTCATCGTTGCTCAAGCCCCCAACGTTTTTCAACACATCGTAGGCTTCCGAAATCAGCTGCATATCGCCGTACTCGATTCCGTTGTGCACCATTTTGACGAAATTGCCGGACCCTCCTTCGCCGATGTAGGTGACGCAGGGGCCGTCGTCCCCTGGGCGGCGACCTTGTCGAGGATGCCGTGGATGTTGAGGTAGGCGCGGTGGGAGCCGCCGGGCATGAGGGAGGGTCCGTTACGGGCGCCGTCCTCGCCGCCGGAGACGCCCATCCCGAGGTAGAGGAGGCCGTTGGCGGAGGCGTCGACGATGCGGCGCTCGGTGTTCTCGTACCACTCGTTGCCGCCGTCGATGATGGTGTCGCCGGGCTCCATGTGGGCGGAGAGGGCGGCGATGGTCTGGTCGACGGGGGCGCCGGCCTTGACGAGGATGATGATTGAGCGGGGCTTCTTGATCGAGAGGACGAAGTCTTTGGGGTTGTAGTGGCCGGTGAGTGGGAGCTGCCCTTCGCGGTGGGCCCGATCTAGGGTTTCGTCGACTTTGGAGATTGTGCGGTTGTAGACGGAGATTGGGAACCCTTTCTCGGCGATGTTGAGGGCGAGGTTTTGGCCCATCACGGCGAGCCCGGCGAGGCCGATTTGAGATAGCGCGGCGGACTCCATTGTTGATTTTTCCTGCTGCGCTGTGCTACCTTAAAAATCCGATCTTGAATTTTGCAGAGTGTAAGGGTTTCAGGGGAGAGAGTTACAGTGGTGAAGTTTTAGATATATAATACCAAACTTGGATCGTCGTTGGTCTCTGAAATGACGAAAATACCCTTCCACGTTAATTTTGTATTATTGGGGATAATATATAATATATGGTCAAATAACTCATTTAGTTTAACTTTTTTAATTCAAAAAACAAATATTCTAATTTTGATTCAATAATCTTATTCATATTAAATTCTAAAAATTCAATTTTCGAATATTTGAATTTTATTTTGGATTTGAGTCAGAATATATACGAGATTTCAATTTTCGATCCGATTTCAGGTCAATTTTGAATTATTTGGAATAAAATATGATATATGGACTATGATTAAATAACTCATTTAGTTTACTTTTTTAATTCAAAAAAATATTCTAATTTTGATTCAATCATCCTCATATTACATTCTAAAAATTCAATTTTTATTTTGGATCGAAGTCGGAATACATTTGAGATTTCGATTTCTGATTTGATTTGAACATTTGAAACTAACACTACAAATTATAGTTATAATATCAATTTATGATGTATTTATGTTATATGTGAATAAAATTTCAGAATTTTCCGATTTTCACCGATTTCGACCAAAAAAATCGAACTTTAGAACATTTTTGTCTCATTTCAAATTACAAAATTTCGATTTCCAATATCTTCGAATGTTTTCGGAACGTAAAATTGGACTTAGTTTTTCGTTTACGGAGGGATTACTTATTTTTTTTTCGAAAGTAACCATTACGATCGAATCCATTTCCAACTCTAGATAAAACAATTTACTTCTATTTCTATAAATATACATTTATATTTATTTATGTAAATGTTTAAATGATGGGATTGTAGGGGGTATAAAAGTCATTTAACATGAGTGGTTATAGTATTGTTTAATAAAAAAGCCCATGGGATTAGGGTGGCGGACTCGTCGAGGGAGTGAAAGGGTGGTGACTTGAACTACCAACGAGGGGTTGTCTTTTTTTGAGGACGATAATCTCTATGTGCCCTGCAAACGGCGTCGTTTCTGTAAGAGAATTGGGGCATGTTTGGTTAGTGGCTAAATGAAAAATGTATTATCTATGTTATAGACAAATGAATTGTGGGGTTATAAATTTAGATTATTAAAATAATAATAAAATAAAGTCAAAAAGATACCCTCATAAAATAATAAAAAATAGAGTATGATTAGCATATGTTGTTGCTTAGAAGGAGTAAAAAAAATGTTATTCATTTTAGGGACCTAGTATATATATATATATATAATCATTGTTATTGTATGGGAAAATATTGTTGTATCGGTTTTCTTCTTATACTGTACTTTTCCCTTTTATTGTATCGTATTGGTAAGATATTTGATTAACTATTGAAAATAGTATAGAATATATATTATATAATAAAAATACAATAAACATGTAAAACTTAGTGTTTTAAAAGTCAAACTGTTCATTTAGAATAGATCTTAATTAAAGTTTTAACATTAAATTGTTAATTAGGACAACAATAATAGTTTTTTTAAAATGATATTGTTGGTTTTATTACCTTTGCTAATGTGAATTGATTTTGTTTTATTGTTATGTTCAACAATTTTTTTGGATATTGATTAGGAGAACAATAAAATTTATCTGAATTTTTTTTTATTTTTGGTTTTCCCTTAACTGGAAAAATAAAAATAAAAAAACACACAATTGTTATAAACAAAAAATGTGCTGAAAATCGCAGAAATCATCTCTAAATGTGAGAAAATTTGACAAATCACCCCCAAAACAAATATCATAAATATCGTATCGTATCGCGATATTGAGCCCGATATTTGATTACAATCGATACATATGTCGGATTATATCGTTTCCAAAGAAATCGTATTGCATCGTGATTCATATTCGGTATCGAACATTTTAATAAATACCGAACACTTAAAAAACAAGAAGCATCAAGTCTCACCACATCTTATTCTCTAACATTGATGTTATATGACTTTACTATTGATGTAGTATGTTTGGCTAATAATAGAAAAAAAGGGATAGGTGTGGGTTTTAGACGAAGGAAGTCCAAAGAAAAAGCCCACGTAATCCTAGAGTGAGAGTGCCGAGGAAGTATGTCCCGACATTAGCACTCCGACGGTCAAATTAGGAGAAATCGTGGGGAAAATTACGCGTATAGAATAGAGTAGAGTGCTTAATTATTTACGGTATCAGTCGTGTTATTCCTTGGTCTTGGAGGTTGTATTTATACATGCCTGATGCCTCATGAGTGGGCTGGTGGGTTCCCTTTCTGGCTCTGGTCATAATCACACGGGGGCATGTTGTGATTACTCCCCATCCCGTCCTTTAAGAGTCGATCGATTCAAACCGGAAGGGTTCGCAAGTGTGATCACCTCTTCTTTTGGATGTCAAGTAGGTCTCTCCATAGTTCGTAACACTTTGCAGGCTTTCCGTATTTTCCTAGTCACATCCGCTTTCCAGACTACATTATATGAGCTATTGGTTAGCTTAATAAGCCAAATAGAAGTGAGTCTAAGCTTTATTTATGATTTCGTTGTTGTGGGCTTTCCAGGGCAAAACAGCCGTATAAACTACTATTATTCATCATAGTAGTATATTATTAATTGTTAGGAACATTTGCTTATCAGATACAGAGCATAATTCGATCAAAAATAAAGAACTCTTCAAAGTTTAGTATTGATACGGATTCAATTGCCCTGTTCCGGATAAACGGGCCATAGAAATAATCTAAATAAAGTTCAGAAGCATATTTACTTTACTTCCTTCGGGTAACCTACCACTACCCCGGGTGGGCAAGGATTGATAGCGTGAGACGCTTCCTGGCCCAAAGTCAAGAATGTAGGCAAAAAGTCTGCCTCATGGCAAGGACTTATAAAACGCCCACTTATAATGCGAATATGAGCGACGTAAATGCAGGCCCGATCGTCAAACCCACACGAAACTAATTATGCTGATCAGCTCGTAGTCCATTGCTCAACCTATCCTCGAGGAAATAATCCTGACATCGAGGGTCACATCACTCACACATGCACCCCCAGTGATGGTGAATTGTGAGTCCTACGACCTCACTTCTGGAGCAAATATAAATACTATATTGTGACCAATATTGTGGTATCGAGAGAAGGTTGAGATTACATAGACACATTCATTTTACATATTGTCTACTTTCTTTTCGTATTATTTCCTTTACTCCAACTAACTTGATCGTTGGAATGCTAAAATTTATCCGACACTCTTTTAAGCATGCTCTCTGGGAATTCGGTTTCATCGGAGGACATTGATTGGGTTGTTATCTCTAGGTTTTCGGTTTCATCGGAGGACACTGGGTTGGCAAATTATAGCCATCATTTGAAGTAATGTCAAATTACGAAAAACCCCTCATAGTTGGGTAATTACAACCACCCCTAAACTATGAATCTTCTTACACGTGCACTCTCATGGTGTCAAATTCAACAGAATCTTCTAGATTTTGTGGAATGTTCTCTAATTTGTACTTATTTTGTGCAAATGAATCACAATATGATATTTACAAGCCAAGAGACACATCTAATGATCAATTTATTTCAAAATGTGGAGCTCAAATGACGTAAAACAAGTATAAACTGGAGAATATTCCACGTAATCTAGAAGATTCTACTAGATTTGACACTACAATGATAGACGTGTAAGAAGATTCATAGTTGATCGAAAAATTATAATTACCCAAACATGAGAGGTTCTTTCGTAATTTAACCTTAACTTAGAGGATGACCGTAATTTACACTATATTTTTTAATGGGCCATTTAGGCTACATTAAAAGGGGAAAAAATATAGGAAATGATCCACCCCTTGAGGGCATTTTGGTCAATTTATGTAGAAATATATATAAACAGAAAAAGGGCGCCTCTTCTTTTCATCCAAAAAAGAGTTAAATAGCAATTTTCATCGCAGTGAAATCCACTAATAGCAGTAATATTTGCGTAAACCCACAATAAATCAATTTCATTAACAACTCATAATCCACCAATTCATTTTTACCGTGTGTTAAAAAAGAGTCTATCTCACTACAAAATTCACCTAACAAAACAAATCTACTTTTTTTTTTTAATATATATAAATAAATGTAGATTACAAAATATAGCTCCGTTAAACGACGTCGTAAAAGCAGGCGGCGATGGGTAGCCGGGGATCGAATCACCGCCCGTCGTCGGCGTCGAGATTCGAGAACCGGATTTCGTTCCTGATGCTCTCAATGTTTGCTACCATGGCTTCCTTTTACGTTGCCGGCCGGTACATTCAACTCTCAATTTTTTTTATTTATTTTTGAATTTATTTTAAGAAAAACGATTTTGATGAATGAATTCGTGCAGATTGTGGCAAGACGCAGGGAACAGAGTTTACTTAATTAACGAGCTTGATAAGAGAACCGGCCAGGTATAATTCATTTCCTATTAATTTCCGAATTTTTTTTTTATTTAAATTGTTTCTCAGCTGAATTCGAGCTTATTAGCAGTTGCTGTGTAAATGTATTAAGATGACGAAGAAGAAGAAGCAGAAAGGGGAAAATGTTAGGTTTAATTTTAATTTAAATTGACATTACTGTTGTATCTTTGTATGCCAGGGGAAATCTTCCATTTCAGTCGACGACACATTGAAAATCATTACTTGCAGGTATAATGCGTGGAATACATCTGGTTATTTACGTTGGGTGAATTTGAACCGTAGATTTAGGCATAATCACACATACACGCATGTGTATGTGTCCTTAGTGGGTAGTTATTTAATCAAATCTACGGTTCAAATCCAACAGGCGTAGCATCTAACTCCCCGTAGTGGTGTGTGTGTGTATGTGTGCGTGAGTGCGAATGTGTGTGTGGGAGTGAGTGCCAGTGCCAGTGCGAGTGCGTGTGTGTGTGTGTGAGTGTGTGCGAATGTGTGTGTGTGAGTGTGAGTGTGTGCGTGTGTGTGTGTGTGTGTGTGTGTTTTCGCTTTGTGGTTCATTGAATATCAATTTAGATCTGCATATATTCTATTTTATTTAATTAGGGAACGCCAGAAGAAACTAGACGCACTTCACATCGATCTTGAAAAGGCTAAGCAAGAAGGATTTACGCCTAAGCATCTCTCGGAAGACGGTGGGCCCGCAAAGAAAAAACTATTGGTTGTCATAGGTATACTCACTATGTTTGGACGCAAGAATAACCGAGACGCTATTCGTAAGGCATGGATGCCCACCGGTACGTAATTATCGAATTAGGAACACTATTTTTTTACAGTTTTGCTTAATTAATCAAGAGTTTAATTAATGTAGGTGATGCTCTGAAGAAACTCGAGGAAGAAAAAGGGATTGTCGTACGATTTGTAATAGGGAAAAGGTTTATTACACATTGGTGTTATGGAAACTGATTGAAGAATTATTTCTTTAGAGACGAATTGTTTCGACTGATTTTCCACATTAATGCAGTGCGAATAAAGGCGACAGTTCGGATAGAGAGATCGACAGTGAAAATAGGCAGACGAACGACTTCGTAATTCTTGTATGTTTGTTTTTTTTTTTTTTTAATTTCTTGCAATCGATAAAGAAAAATTCGTAAAATATTTTGTAATAAAAAGATTCCGTAAAATATGTCTGTATGTGCATTTGCACGTGTCGTTTTTCATCCGACATCTGTACATACATTTTTCCCACGTGTTACTACGTGGCATACGTGGTCTATGAGTCGATGAAATTATTTATTACAAATTTGGAATCATTTTTTTTTATCATTGACAGGAAAATCACGTGGAGACGATTGAAGAGAGAGCAAAGAAGACGAAATTGTTCCTCATTCACGCCGTGGAGAACTGGGATGCTGCTTTTTATACTAAGCTTAGTGATGATGTATATGTTAATATCGGTACGTGGTTCCTTAATGCGTCGATGTTTAAGGTTTTCTCGTTTATTTATATTACTTACTATATATAGATGCAACGGGCTTCCTCGTTTGCAGATGCTCTTGGATCTGTGCTTGGAAGTAGCTTGGACAAGCCTCGTGTCTACATTGGTTGTATGAAGTCGGGAGAAGTTTTCTCTCAACCGTGAGTTATTCAGAAGCTAGTTGAGGTTTATTTTTTAAGGATTTAGTTATGAATTATTATTATTTTTTATTCTTTTTCTGGATCTGCAGGAAAGACAAGTGGTACGAACCTGATTGGTGGAAATTTGGAGATGGGAAGTCGTAAGTTATAGATGATTACTTTGCGTTTGTGGATTTGTTTCTTTGTTTTTCGTATCGGAGTAGTAGGAACTCGATTAAAAATAGAACTTTTGAAATGAGTCAAATTATGAATGCATGCATATCCATGTGACAGGAATCATTAATTGCAAGTAACTATAGAGTTTCGTTCGTTTTTTTCTTTTCTTTTTCTTCGGTTATTTATCGAACTGAAATCGAACTTTTCTCCCTAAATAGATACTTTCAGCACGCTTCGGGTGAGATATTTGCTATATCACAAGCACTGGCTCAGTTTATTTCAATCAACAGGTAAATATTATTTTCGCGACATTACTTCCTTAGTCAATTTTACGTCTCTACATCTGCCTCAATCGAATAAAAATGATTGTTAATTTTTTTTTATATATAATTATCTTGCAGATTGGTCCTTCGTACGTATGCCCATGATGATGTCAGCATTGGATCTTGGTTCATTGGTCTTGATGTGAAGCATGTGGACGAAGAAAAGTTTTGCTGCACATCCCGTTCATCAGGTTTCCACTCATTACACGTTTCCCCGTTTTCTGTTAATCCAAATGCATTCTCGTATATTTTAATGGGTTTTTTTAGTATTGTTAACCGATTAATCATTTTAAAACAAGAATCGTATCACATTTGCAACGACTAAGTATTGAAATCGTATCTAAATTGATTTTTGCTCACAATTGCATTGTGTTTTTTGCAGGAGCCATTTGTGCATCTGCCTGATTTAGTTGTTGTGACGAACTCATCTTTCGGGTTTTCTTTTTCTTTTTCTTTTTCTTTTTTTTTTTTAATTCGAGTATTTAGATGGTGTTGAATCCAGATTCTCAGGTTATGGTTTGTAGTACTTTGGAGTAATGAATTTTGTGTATAGTTTTGGCTTTGCAGTTGGTTATGTCGGATTAATTTGGATTTTGATTGGATTAAGTTGACTTAACTGGTGGATTACTAGATTATTAAGTTTAAAATCATTAAAATCCGGTAATAAATAGGATATTTCCAAAATATTTATTTCAAGGAACTAAACACACAAAAATAATTTAAAAAAAAAAAAAAAAAATTATATCAGAGCCAGGTTTCGATCCTGGGACCTGTGGGTTATGGGCCCACCACGCTTCCGCTGCGCCACTCTGATTTGTTGATGATTCATGCGTCGAAATAACTATATTGCAATCGTTTAACCTCCGAAATTTGACTTCAACTTTTCAACCCCGGTCAAGCCAAATTAATCAATTATTTTATTTTCTTCTCATCCATTATTTTCATATATTAGCAAATTTAAATAAAAAAAATTTTTTGAAGGCAGCAAATTTAAATAATTTTTTAAAAGTATTAGAAAACAAGAATTTAAACAAGAAAAACAAAGAAGGGAATATAAAATTAAAGTGTATTTATTTGTATTTTTTCTCGCGCAAAGTATTCAAAAAAAAAAAAAAGGAACAATGAAGTATTTTATTAGGTGTTACGTAAAATATATATTTTCTTTTTAATTTTTTTTAGAGAGACCGTAAAATCTATTCACATATATTAATTTTCTGCATATTTATGCATTTGCCTAAAACGGCAAATAAACGCATTGCTTGAATTTTTTTTATAGGGTCAACATGTGTAACATGTAGGGGTGAAAGTCGGATTGATCGATCGTAATTCGGAATTAGCATTTTCGGATAATTTCCAAAAAGTTTGGAATTACCAAATCAATTTCAATTCCAACTTCAAAAATTTCGAAATTTAAAAATTCTTTCCAATTCCAAGAGGCTCAGAAATTTCGGAATTTTGAAAAAAATTCGGAAATCGGATAAGTTTTAAAATTTCAAAACTTAGTTGATTTTTTCTAAAAAAATCATTTTTTTCAAAAATAAGAACATCCCCATCGATAAGTAAAATTAACCACTACTAAATTTCAGTTTAAAACAAATAAATAAAAATAAACTACACCATAATATCTAGTAAATTTCTACCAACAATTCCATATGCCTGAATCCTAAAATAAAATCAAGTTACTATTTCAGAAAAAGAAATTATATAATATATTATTTATAGTTGTATTTTTTGGAAAAAAAATTAGAATTTTTCGAAATTAAATCAAATTAGAAATTGGAAATTCCTATTTTTTTTCCACATAATTCCAATTTTAATCCACAACGATCGGAAATTTCGGAAATCAGAACTTCGGAATGAAAAAAAGTTAATCCAAAATCGTTCGGACGGAACCAGCGAAAAATAAAATTTCCGTTCCAACTTCTCTATATTCCCAATCTAGCCTAGGAGCTGACACGTGTCAGTTGAAGATGATATGCAAACTGTGAATAAGCACTATTTAGTGAAGGGAGTGGGTCCCACAACAAGCCCAAATTGGGTCCTATTTAATGTGTTCTCAAGTTACAAGACAGGGCCCTTAAGGCCCGCTTGTTTTTCGCGTGAGCTCGGGCCCACCTTGTCGACCAGAGGGGTGTATATGTAATGTTTTTTGACATGCGGGGTTCTAAGTGTAGTTTAGCCTAAGCTTGGGGAGATAAGTGTAAGTTACCGTAAATGTATAAAATGTTGAAATGAGCCAAATTATATATATGAAACGTGTCGACACGTGATAAATTTTTGAAGTGTCCAGATATAGCTTCTTATATTCTTTTTAATTAATGTCAGTTGGAATTAAATGTTTTATAAATTTTGTTGGGGATTTAAATTATGTTCAAAAATAGGAAAATTTGTGGGCGGTTTTAAGAAATTCGAATGAAAAAACTTATTAATGTATATATAAAAAATCGTATTGTGATTGGCGAAATTCGGAATTTCCATTGTCTAGTCATCTATAATCTATATAATATATAAAAGTTGAATTCCATAGCTAATTGATTTACATTTGTCAATTTCAATTGATGACATGTCCTCAATTTCATCCCAAGTGGCGAATTGATTGGTGGAAATAAATCATCAAAAAACATGTCATCATTTTCCAAAATTAAAGGTAATTAAATATATTTAATTATTTTATTAATATATTTATATCCTACCATTTATAAAATGCTCTAAATATATCAACTTTCTTAGAAACCCTAAATAAATTTATTTTTTAATTTAATTTTATAATTAATTTAATTTGAATTTATTTAAATTCGATTTAAAATCTTCCCTTATTATAATTGCATAATTGGTGGTGTTACGAATTTTTTTAATTTTAATTCATAAACTTGAATTTATTAACAAAAAATATTGCAGAATAAATTATTTGATATGATACATTTTAAATGAACATGACTAGAGAATATGTAATTTTTTACTAATTTAATATTATATATTAATATTATCTGTAAAAAAGAAAGATACATGTTTGAATTTACTATCTTGCGAAAATTGACACTATTTGTTATGCCATGTGTAGAGTAATGTACTCCCAATTATTTACCATATTGAAAATTATACTACATGAATTTAATGTTATTATTTAAATAATTATTTTTTCTTCACTGAGTTCAGTAACAATAAATTTTACGATTGATTTAACTTTTTAAATTATATACTAATTAAAATACAAATCTTATCATGATTATACTAATAAATTGAATAACTTAAGTTAAGTTTAATCAATTGATAAATAAACGAATTGATTTTATATATTTCAAAATATAATAAATTCTAAATCTTTGGTATTAAATTCGTTTATCCACTTTATTTAATGGCTAACATTAAGAATATCAATTGTTTTGTTTAAAATGTATAATGGTCGTATATACTATATAATGTATTCCACTAATAAGTATTTCATTATAACTCTAATAAATATAATTAAGTAAATATCTACAGCAACTCCAACCCAAAAGTATCAAAATGAGTTTGCAAATATTTATGTGCTATTTAATATTTTATTTTGATATTTATCTAAATGTATTTGCTCCAACCATAGTTATTAAATAGTTGTTAATTAAATATATCTTATTGCCACATGTTATTTTCTAAATGGACACTGATGTGATTAAATTCATAATCATAACTCATGTTTGATATTTTATTCTGCATGATTGCATATTGTATTTTTACATTCTGAAAGATGAAGTATCAAAATACCTCATTTCATAACTCTATTAGAATTAAAAATTACTATTTTGGAGTATAAAAATGGTGGATAAATATTTTGATAGCTCCTTTAATAATCCCACTCGAAGTGCTCTTGCCATAAATAGTTTATACTAATAATTCCCCTAATGTTTGTTTTCGTCTTACATCGACCCCCTTATGGTATGATTTGTCAAGGAATTTTTTTATTACATGGAATATTCCAATAATGCTTATTATACCATGCACACACGACATTTCTTTATGGTACTTTTTAAAAACAAAAATTACCCTCATGTGAACTTTACACGAAATCTTTATTCTTCTTAAATAACACTTTCACAAATTTTTATTATTACCATGACCACCCCTGAGAGTAATTTTTGAGTTTATAAAGTACGATAAAAGAAATGTCACGTCTGTAAAGGTAGACTCCATATTTTTTGGGACATTACATGGAATAAAAAAGATTCCGTAAAAAAATCACACCATAAGGGATCGTGTAAGACAGAAACAAACATCAGGGAGATTTTGGTAATCACCGATAAGTGGGGGTGTTTTCTGTAATTTAGCCTAAGTTCATGAGGATTTTCATGAGGATTTTCATAATTTATCTTATTAACAATGATTATTGTTCTTTTACGTCTTAACGTTGGCTTATACCCTTATAATATTTTAAATAATTTTAATGTCAGTTTGATAATATAATTAAATATTAAATGTTCGAGATTGAATTATACTAAATAATAGATCATTGCAAAAAATAAAAAAAATTTGTTGCAAAATCAGAATTTGTGATTAATATTAGTATTAGAATTATAATTATAATTAAGATTCTTTGAATTAGTATTAGTATTAATACTAGAAATATGATTCAGATTGTAATTAGGATTAATATAATATTAGGATTATGATTAATATTAGTATTAGAATTATAATTAAAATTATGATTATGCTTAGTACGATAATTAGTGACATGCATTAGTATTAGGATTATGATTAGCATTAGAATTGGGATTAGAATTATAATTAAGATTAAAATTAGAATTAGAATTAATATTAGCATTAGCATTAGCATTATTAGTATTAAAATTATTAGGCTTATGATTAGTTAGGAATAGGATTATGATTAGGATTACGATTAGAACTATGATTAGTGTTACGAATAAAATTAGTAATATAATAAGGATTTGGATAATATTAGAATTACAACTAATTAGCATTAGCATAATAATTAGCATATCTATATTAGCATTAGCATCAAAATTAGTATTAGCATTAACATTAACAATATTAACATATTAGTATTAGTAATAGTATTAATAATAGTATTAGTATTAATATTAGTATTAGTAGTAGTATTAGTGTTGGTATTAATATTAGTATTAGTATTAATATTAGTATTAGGGGTGGGTTTGGTAGGGCAACCGTACCAAACCCCTCGAATCAGTACCATTACCGAAATTTCGGTATTATGAAATCCATTACCATTGCCCTACCAAAAATTTCGGTATACCGAAATTCGGTATACCAAAAGTTCGGTACGGTAGGGCATGGTAATGGTAATTACCAGTTTATGTTATTTATTATTTAAGTTTAAATCGAATATCATTTTTTCAAAGCAATTCAAGGTATAAACATGTTTAAAATGTTCGAAACTAGTATTTAAGATGTAAGTATTCTAAATATATGTTCTTAATTTATTTAATATAAATATTTATTAAATAAAATTATAACATAAATTTTTTTAACATCAATTATATATCATTAATGAAAATAATTTAAAATATTTTTGACATACCTAAAAAGTATAATTAATTTTAACTAATAGTAGTTAGTTAGGATATTATGTTCACTTTTTATATATAATAAATTAATTATTTAAATAAAATTTTAT